CTTATACTTTTGCTTTATGTAAAAGATAATTATAAAATTAAAGTCATAAATTCATTGATTTGAACTAGATATTGCTAGTTTTGCAAACAAGAGAAAATGACAATATTGTTTCATCATTATTTTTTTTTTTTTTCACTTCCACTTTCTTACTTTGAAGTCAGAAAGAAAACGTCTGGTGCGGAAGAAAAACTGGCGGCCTGGTCTCGATTGGAGTACAAGCAAATCGCGAGTGACAAACTTAGTTTTCAATGAAAAATAAAAAACAAATTTACCTCTTAGAAATAATTTGTTTTTACACTACAAAACAAACTAGTTTTCAATTGTTCTAATTTTTCAATACTGACAACTGAAGGAGATGAAAGTTCAAGCATTTTTTTTAGCATTAGGGAAGCGAATTTGAATCCAACTCAATAGTCGAATTGTACATGCATTTACTACTAGACTATTTTTTAATATACAAGTGTTTTTTTTATTAGAATAAAAATAATAATACTGATAAACATTGATGTTTTTTTTGAGTTATAATCAATCAGTGGTTGATTATATAAGGGATGGAAATTTTTTAATGAAAATTTTACTCAAATTTGAAACTCTAGATTTGTGAGTTCATTCCTTGTGGATTCTCTAGTCCCAGAAATATATGAATAGTTTGCATTTAATTATATTGAGAAAGTGAATTTAACAGGATATGCAAAAGAGGATGATTTACCTACGTGTGTCCATCTATATATCAAACCATTTAATAATTCTTTTTACTAGAAATAAGGATAATACTATTTTTTTCAATTGAGAAAAATAACAAACCAGTGAAAAGATTGTAACAAAATTTTTAAATAGCAAGTCCCCGTTAGCTTGGTTTAGCCTGTAGGTATGATCATATTTCTATTTCAAATTAAAATTGAACTAGTTAAAGTCGAAACTAAATTATATGTAGTCAAAGATTTCTAGTTTCAAACCGTAGGCCAAAATGTGACGAACTAAATTGTGTGCCTACAGTTTGATTTTAATTTCTAACTTTTTTTTGAAACCAAAACCATCAAAAATAGCAATTCTGAATTGAAAGAATAGCAAAAAAAAACAAACAAAAAAAAAAGCAAAAAAATTCTCAATTTATTTATTTTTGTTTTGTTTTAATTATATTAAAATAAATTTCAATACTTTTTACTAAACTTGTTTAGTCTTTTGCAATACTATTATTTATTATTATCATTATTATTATTAGTGCTAAAACAATTAAAAAAAACTTCAAAAAAATTATTTTATTTTTTAAACTGAAATCGATGGTTCCAAAACCATCTTAGGAATAGTCTAAGGAATCGTTCGGTTCAAAATGGTTGACTTCACAAGAAGTATAATATCCAAGAAGTGTATTTCTAAGAAATTATTTCCCAGGAAGTATAATTTATATGTATTTGGTATGCAAATTAACTTCATGGAAAGTGAATTGCTTTCAAACTATAAATTACAATGATATCCATGATATAAATTTGAGTGAATTTAGATAATAAGATAAATTAGTAAATTCATTGTACTTAACTAGGGAAGTTCCCTACCCATACATAAGGAACTTACTTCTCTTGTGTAAAGGAAGTTGGATGATCTACTTCCCAGGAAGTAGAATTGATAATGCAAACCAAATACAAGCACTTTATGCATTTCCCGAGAAGTTACATTTCCCTAATCTACTTAACTCTACCCAAACAACACCTAAGAAAAGTTCGTTTCTAGTTTTACCATTTTTTGAAACTAAAATAAAAGTGAAACTATAGTCATCGTTAACTTAATTTACGGATACTCCCATATATTAAGTGTAAGTAAATATTTTAGAATGCAGAAAATTAGTTATATGAACTCATTGCTAATAATAATATTAATGTATCATCAAGCTAATTTTATCTATAAGGTAAGGATTTTAAAATTTAAAATCGCGCCTGGTTGAATTGCACGGACAAGTAAAGAAAAAAAAAAAAACAAAGAAAGAAAATTTGATTTATTAGTAAAAAAACTCAATGAAAAATTGCTTTCCTAGTAATTATAATTTTTAATGTGTCAACTAAATAAAAAGCCCATATGTTTGTCAAATTCAAATATCTACCCCACCAATTTTTCTCTTTAGAGGTATTATATTGTATGATATTACAATCAAAACAAATTAAAGTACACTCAGCACAATATATTAAAATTAAAATCCATATAGGACAATTCATTAAATTGATTATTATAGTATATATATTCTTAGAAATGGGGAGACCTGTTGATCAAGGTACATCTACCCTACCCGTACGGATGAATTGGCAAAACTGCCCACTTGATCACGAGGAATACGTAATCCATAAAAAAAAATGTTAAAAGATATAAAGATTTAAATCATAGATCGATAAAGAAATTATTAAAATAAACAGTTGTCTCTATTGTATAATTTATTAGTTTTTAATGTATAAAAAAATAAAAAATTACTTTATACATATTCAGTGTTTATTGTTAGTTGCAATAATATTAATTTAATAGTTAATAATTTTTTATACTTGTAATTAGAAATATTCTCATATCATTTTACGTAACTTGATATTAAATCTTTGTGATATTTTAAAAGCAACAGCCTACATATTACCTAGTGCATTAAAGAATATATTTCTTGAATCTTTTCTAACAACATCAAACTTCAATTGATAAAAGAAATTTCCATCTTATGGGTTAATTAATATATACTTTTATTTTTGACATTTCAAGTTTAATCTCTAAATTAGGGCTCGCTTGTGAGTTGGATATGATATAATTTACACTATTAATCATACATATTCTAATCGTATCGGCTTTGGAACAATTATTTATTTTATTTTATTGAGATTGAAATTTGCATTGAATAAATTATTTGTTGTTTATTTATATTTGTGCCCTTTATATTATATAGTAGATGATTTGATATATAAAGTCTAACTTATTCGTAGAAGATTAAATCATTAGTTCTCGTAAGTTATAATGTTTATGTTCATAATCTAAGGTGGAGGTGGATATACCATCGGTATGATTGTAGTATAAGATTAAATATAATTTATCTTAATTATAAGAATGTGTATAATTCCAATTTCTTGTGTTGGTACATCATGTATGTATTGAATAGGACCAAATAGAAATAAGTCTTTTTATACTGGCTATAAAAAAATAAATTTTACAATTCATTAGGAATATTTATACTCTTAATCTGGACTTAATTGCTACAAAAAAGGTGTATTATTTATTCTTTTGATTTATTATTATATTAAAAATTGAGTTTTACTATGGAGTAATAAACTGAATGGATTGGATAATGATAATCTGCATTTCGTGAAATATCAAGTAAGCTTTAGAGATTAATAATACCCTTTGAGTAAGCTTTTAAGTTTTCATTGAATAAATCTTGGAAATTGATTTTATTAATAATACCGATACATAAAATAAGTTAAGTAAAAGTCCTAAAAAGTTAAATTGTCAATTAAACAAATTGTTAGTAATTTATTTTTATTGACCGGTGTCCATAATTTCAACATGGGACGTTAAATAAATATTTAATGTTCGGATATTCAAAGCTAATAAAAAGTGCAATTACTATTTTTAGTGTATTAATTCCTACTTACTATAATGAGTATTTTCTAGGTTTTTGAAAATAATCTTATTGTGGTAAGAAGTCTTATTATTAATGTGTATTATTTATTATTCAAAGCAAATATTAGTATGATTCAGTGGCTCATTTAATTAATAATTATTCAGAATAAAATATTATAACTTGCATAACACATGGAGATTTATATTGGGTTCAACTTCAATTAAAAAATATGCATAGACATCAAAGTTTGGACAAAAGATAAAAATATTAATAATAAATAAATATACATAGGTTGCAAATATAAATAAATAAATTGTCAAGTAATTTATTTTGACCGATGGTGTTTGTAATTTTAACATGGAGAGTTAAATAAATATTTAATGTTTGGATATTTTGAAATTAATTAGGAGTGCAATTACGAATTTTTTTTAGTGGATTAATTTGTAATTTATTGTGATAAGAAGCCTTATTATTTCGATCCCGTAGTCCATGTTGTGCCTTAGTAAATTAGGGCTCCAAAACGAAGTTTAAAATGTGAGAAATAGGTCAAATAGACCACGAATGAAATATACAGTTCAAGAGTGTGTTTTTTTTTTTTTTTTTTTTTTTTTTTTGGGTTCTGCCAAGCACGAAGTTTAAAAATGTGAGAAATAGGTCAAATAGACACGATGGGAAAGTATACCCAGTTCAAGAGTGTGTTTTTTTTTTTTTTTTTTTTTTTTTTTTTTTTTTTTTTTTTTTTTTTTGCTCCACCCGGTCCACGCAAAATTGAGTCCTGGGATTTCTGAAGTCGCACAAACAGAAGATCGCAGACTATCGCAAAGCGGCTAGAGGAATTCAGAGCTAGGCTGGAATTGTTTGCGATCAAACCTGAGAGATCTCAAAGGTAGGTTTTTTATTTTATATTTAATTAAGATCAGTGAGTTATTTATAATTTTATATAGTATTATGCAATTGGATCCACGATGTGTTTTTTTCCGTCAGGATAATAATATAATTCGATGGCTCATTTAATTAATAATTATTCAGAATCAAATATTATAACTCGCATAACACATGGAGATTTATATTGGGTTCAACTTCGATTGAAAAGATATGCATAGAAATCAAAGTTTGGTCAGAAGATAAAAATATTTATATAATTGTTTTTTGGGTACACAGAAAAAAAAAAATAATATAATATATATTATATATAGTATATAAGAAATAAAATATTATGGTAGCAAAATCGATCTGTTCTGGCCAATCATCCTTATATAAGAAATAAATATATATGGTAGCAAATCGATCTGTTCTGGCCAATCAATCTAATGCAATTGCGTCCTTTAATAGAAGTGTAGAACGGTCAACAAACAACAGCAGAGATAATTGCACATGTAACACAAATAATTTAATAATTAATGTAGTCTCCTTGTTAAATAAATAAATGCGCTGCCATGTTAATAAACTGGTCTCAGCACCCAAACTTTGAAATCTTTTCCCCATTTCCGTCCTAATATATACATTCCAAGAAACATCAATATCTCCACCACACCCTCACTAACACTCACCAGCGAGAACCACAAATCAAATAATCAAGACGAGAATCAAGAATCAAGAATCAAGTATCAAGAATTCAAAACCCATTGTGAATTCTTGATATGGCTTTCTCTGCAACAGCCCCTGCTTGTAACAATATTCTTTTCAAGAAATCCACCTTCAATGGCCTCAAGAACCGTCCTGAACTCCCATTTAACCACCTCAAGTTTCATTTTCGTATGAAAATGACCACCACCACTGTCCAGGTGGTTTCGGACTCCTCCCCGGTGACGCAACCACTTGAAACCACCCAAGAATCTCTCTCTTTCTCGCCCAAGATTCTCCTCCCTAACTTCCCCTTTGAAGAATATATGGTACTGAAGGCAAACAATGTTAATGAAGCATTAGATAAAGCAGTACCCTTGAACCATCCATTAAAAATCCATGCAGCGATGAGATACTCTCTTCTCGCCGGCGGGAAGCGTGTCCGGCCAATTTTATGCATTGCTGCCTGTGAGTTAGTAGGCGGAGATGAAGCCGCGGCCATGCCATCTGCATGCGCAATGGAAATGATTCATACTATGTCTTTAATCCACGACGATCTTCCTTGCATGGACAATGATGATCTTCGACGGGGAAAACCTACAAATCATAAAATGTTCGGCGAAGAAACTGCGATCCTTGCCGGAGATGCAATGCTTTCTTTAGCATTCGAGCACATAGCTAGAGCAACCAAGAATGTTTCGCCGGAGCGAGTGGTTCGAGTCATAACTGAGCTTGGATCGGCTGTTGGGTCAGAAGGACTTGTTGCAGGTCAAATTGTCGACGTTTGCAGTGAGGGGAAAGAGGTAAACGTGAAAGATTTAGAGTATATCCATATTCATAAAACTGCAAAGCTTTTAGAAGCAGCAGTTGTTTGCGGAGCCATAGCAGGCGGAGCCGATGATGAGAGCATCGAAAGAGTGAGAAAATATGCAAGGTGTATAGGATTATTATTTGCCTGTGAGTTAGTAGGCGGAGATGAAGCCGCGGCCATGCCATCTGCATGCGCAATGGAAATGATTCATACTATGTCTTTAATCCACGACGATCTTCCTTGCATGGACAATGATGATCTTCGACGGGGAAAACCTACAAATCATAAAATGTTCGGCGAAGAAACTGCGATCCTTGCCGGAGATGCAATGCTTTCTTTAGCATTCGAGCACATAGCTAGAGCAACCAAGAATGTTTCGCCGGAGCGAGTGGTTCGAGTCATAACTGAGCTTGGATCGGCTGTTGGGTCAGAAGGACTTGTTGCAGGTCAAATTGTCGACGTTTGCAGTGAGGGGAAAGAGGTAAACGTGAAAGATTTAGAGTATATCCATATTCATAAAACTGCAAAGCTTTTAGAAGCAGCAGTTGTTTGCGGAGCCATAGCAGGCGGAGCCGATGATGAGAGCATCGAAAGAGTGAGAAAATATGCAAGGTGTATAGGATTATTATTTCAAGTGATTGATGATATTTTGGATGTCACAAAGTCATCAGTAGAGCTCGGAAAAACCGCCGGAAAAGATTTGGTAAGTGATAAAGCAACTTATCCTAAGCTTCTGGGAATTGACGAGGCAAGAAAATTAGCAGCGAAATTGGTAGATGAAGCTAATCAAGAGCTTGCTTATTTTGATTCTGCCAAGGCTGCTCCACTGTACCATTTTGCTAATTACATTGCTAGTAGGCAAAATTAATTAGTGGGCTAGTTGTTTTTTTTTTTTTTTATGCAATTGCTATTATTATATAATTAATGTCACTTGCATCAATTGTTGGTTTATATGTATAATGTTTTTTGATCAATAAAATTTTTTTTTTGTCTGCAAAATAAATTTATTTTATCATTTATACATAAATACTATGCTACAACGTGACTATATAGTCTAAGATGGGATGCTGTATGCTGGAGGATACTAAACTACTAAGATGGGATGGATATATATCACAAATATAAATTAAAATTAGTCTTCGAATGTCAAGATCTCAATTATACTTGGTATTGACAGTGGGTGGTTGGTTGGGTACTAGGTGACCTCAATCTCTATAAAGATGAGACCACAAATTCAATTTTTAAAAAATGCAATTTTCTGAAATATTAAAAAATCTTTATACTTTAGAGGGAATTACATCTCCTAATTATATATATGTAGTACCAGTCTATACTCAGGTGACTATAACTCTATATGGTGAGTCATAATTTAGTCTTGATCTTAGCTTTGCTCGGTGGTGAATACCATACGTAACAAGACCAGGTGATATAAATCTACACCGCTCATTATGTTCACTAAGTGGTGCACTGTCCAGATCTGTTTTATGAGGACTGAATGAGACGCATAGTCTATTCAGTTGCGGAGTCAATAATTCAAGTGGTGCTAATCTTGAAGAACGCGAAAGAAAATAAAGTTGGTCTTGGAAGTTGTTCAATAATCATAGAGTACATCTAACGGGGGACTTTTAGTATTTGTTATAAAAACGCTAATGGATGGGGACTATTCGTTTAGGTGATTTATGATTCTGTTGATACTTATGGTTCGTTAAATTCGTGTTCAAAAATTAGGCTACGCGTATATATAAACTCATATTATAACTATTGTCCCTTGTCACTTTTAAGAGATGAACAAATATTGCGAATACAAATAAGATTCTAATCTTGGAAAAGGAAAAAAATAAATTGGTCTTGGAGTTATAATAAAATTAATATACGAGGATTTATATTTTTAAAAACTAATTATGAATCTTTAGTTAATTTATGATTCTGTTAACATGTTGGTAATTCTGTTCAAAATAGTCCATTTTAACTGTCAATTCACTTAGAAATTAGTCCCTAAATTATAGCCAAACTAATTATAAGAATTTTGTAATACAAAAGTGATCTTGAAATTTATTATTTACTGACATAAGGTTTACATATACACTTTGTTAATAAGTAAAGTTTATCTACAAAACCACTATTAATATTAAATATAAAATAAACTTTATACAACTAATTACTTTCACACTTATGACTTATGACTTAGTTAACACTTTGGCTTTTGTATTTTTTGTTTTGAACAGAAGAGGTAAAATATTAACAAGTTTATAACTTAGGGGCTTTTTAGTTAGTGTTTAAAAATAAAGGTCTCATATATTAATTTAACTATAAGACCAATTTAATTTTTTTCAGATAAGAATCAAATTTGGATCCTTGAGAATCAAGCCTCGCTCTATATAGTTGAATATGCTAATAAATAATTATGACGTTTTTAACTTATACTTCCACCTCAATAATAGATCTTTCCATCTAAAAAGTTAACTTTTTGCTGTTAATTAGACACGCTTTTTAGATAGAATAAATTTATCTTTGAATAGAAAGAACTTATTTTTTATGGACTGATTTGATAGTGAGATAAAATTATAAATTAAAGATGTTGTAGTTATTTCTATTTGAACATAATTTAGGGATTCAATTATATTTTACACTTATATTATTTAGCGATGATGGAGGGCATTATATAAACCTTTTTTCATTACTCAAAAACTAATAGGAGTGTTCCTAAGAATAAAGGGATGATTATAAATTTATTGTTTTTTTTTTTAATTTTTGAATTGACTTGTTTAGTCTGTGTCTACTGTCAATTTATGGACAAAAACAGAAAAAAATATGACTTTTTTTTAAAGTTATTTTTATTTTATTCTTTTTTCAATATACAATCAGAAACACATTCATTTCAATACAAATTTTTATTTTCATTGATTTGGTCTATAGATGAGGTCACAGATCCGATCTAGATAAGTATTAATTATTTTTTTCAAACCTAAAGCTAAGTTTGAGCCATATCACTGTCTTTTAATTAACCAATATTCTGAGAACCGAATCAAATAATGAACCGAGTTCATTAGTTTAATCAAATTTTTATAATATAATATTTTAAAATATATTTTTAAGTATAATTAAAATATAAAATTTATAAATATTAAATAATTTTTTTACAAAAAGTATTATAGATACTAAATAATTTTGAAGACATATTATAAATTCTGAAATAAATAAATCTCTTGTTATTTTGTTAATTTATTTTTATATTACTAAATAATTTTTATTTTATTTAACAAAAATGATTTTTTTTAGGAAAGAAGACATTATTATTTAACAAAAATGATGCACATAGCATGAATGTCTCAATGCCATAAAGCCTACCACGTTTATTTAATTTACCACTATTCGAATTTAATATATATTAACCAACAAATTCATTATCTAAAACATAGTATAATAATGCACACTAAGGCATAGCCCAATGTCAAGTGCATTATGATTTGACAATTGCATTATAACTTGGCAATAGATCTAGGTTCATATCCTTTCTCCGATACTCAAAAAAAAAAAAAACATAGCATAATAATCTGAACACACATTTTCTTAATAAAAAAGAATTTCACAACCTATTCAAAAAAAAAAAAAAAAAAAAAAAAAAAAAAAAAAAAAAATTTTCACCCATGGGCCATTCCCTTGCTGTGATTGTAAGGGCCAATGTGAATGTATCCACGATTTAACTTTCACTTTTCTTGTTAATGTCAAAAAAAAAAAAAAAAAAAAAAAAAAAATTTCACCCATTGGGCCATTCCCTTGCTGTGATTGTAATGGGCCAAGTGAATGGATCCACGATGAACTTTCTACTTTCTTGTTAATGTCAACGAAGTAGACTGGTTTCTAATACAGAAGGATCCATCCATACAGTGTCCCCTTCGGTATTTCCACTTCTCTACTTTGCAAGAGTCTCAGATTTCAATCATAGTCACTCCTTTATTATTTCTTGGACTCTTCTTTCCAAATTCAGCTTTCTTCCTCACCTTCCTCTAATGAAGATCTCAGTTATGCAGTATTTACTATTTCTTCATTTTTCTTGAATTAATTAATTAATTCCTTAGAACCCACAAAAAAAATCTGCATTTCTTGAACCTCCGTTATGGTGCTTTTCTTTATCTTGCTTTTGCAGGTCCTCCATCCTTTGTTAATTTCTTGAGACTCATGAAAATTATAGTAATTATTATTCTTTGTAATTAAGAAATTGGTATAGTTAGCTAGTTTTTGGTGATTTCGGCAATTTTAGTGCACAGATGGTTGCATGGTTCAAAGAGCTTAAGGAAATCCGTGAGTTAATGATTGGCTTTGGGTAATCGAACTGTAGTCAATGATCGGTCCGGTTTGACAGTTTTTTACTCGGTTTTCACCGGTTCTTATCCGGCTTGCACCTCCCATTTTAGATATTCAACCTGGACCGGATTATAGTCCATTTTTATTGAACCAGTCAGTCCAGTCTAGTTTTCAGAATCATGTAATTAACTATATAGGTTGAGATGATCTAATTACAAATTCAGTTGGCTACATAAGACCCAAACACTTGATTGATCAATTTCTTAAGCTCTATTTGTTTTCGGAAAATAACTACCTTTCAAAAATATTTTCCAAGGAAAATGTTTTTCTTGAAAAATATTTTTCAAATGACTTATTTTCTATTGTTTGGTTGTAATATTGAAAATTAGTTAAAAACATATTTAAATCTTTAACTCATAACACCATAAAGATATTTATAATAATTTTGTATTTTAAAAAATTTTATTGTTAAATATGAAGATAAATTATGAAAGTCACTAATGGCTGATAATGATGATCGATGGTGGCAATAGCTTGTGGCCGATGGTGGTCGCAAGTGATAGTAATTGGTGGTGAATGGTAATAGATGATAGTGGCTACCGGTGATTAATAAATTAAAAAATATATATTTATAAAGTTATAATAAGTTTGTTAATATCCAGAAAATATTTTTTTCTCTTGAAAATGAAAAATTATTCTTCTTAAAAAATACTTAATTTTTTTTAATTAGGCAAATATTTCCCAATGACTTATTTTTCTTTAATATTTATACTTTTGTGGCATTTAAGAAAATAAGTAAACAAAAAATATTTTCTTGGAATAATCTCCATTTATCCATTAATTTCTCCATTGATTTTTGACCACAAGCTAACCTGTGATTATAGTATTGCCACAAAGCTCTCTTGAAGCCTCAAGTCTCCAACTCAAACTAGTATACATAGAGGCTTAGGTTTTGTTATGAGCATCGGGTGATATATAGAAAGAAAAGAAGAAGAAGAGACAAGAGAGGGGTGAGGAAGAAGAGTAAGTGAGAAAAATTTTAGGGCAATGTAGGTGTGGTTAGGGGTGAGCAAACGATCGATTCGGTTCAAATCAAATCGAATCGAGATAAGAAAATATATGCTGAAATTTTTTATCAACAGATCGAATCGAATTGAAATTACCTTTTGAATTGAATCGAATCAATCGGTTCAATTAATTTTGATCAATGTTACTAATTTGGTTCAATTTTAAATTCAACTGTAAATTTCTATAAAATCGAAATACAAATTTAATTCAAACCAAATAAAATGATAATCAAGCCTCTTCATTTAGTTGACCGAACCAAAATGCGTTGGTTCAGTTCTGTTGGCAAGTTGGCACACCCCTAGGTGTGACTGAAATAAAAATTAACGTTTGTGTTGTGGATGCAAGTAGAGCGTCACGTGTAATTGTTGTTGTACAATTTTCAATTTGGTCCTCATTTCTGTGAAAATTACAGTTTAGTCCCACACTCAAAGCAAAGTTATTTTCAATTAAATCCAAATTTTCTCCTCTCAAAATTCAACAATTACTAGTTTCACCCCTGTAATAAATGGTCCATAAATTACTCCTATACATTCTAGAAATATAAATGATTCCATTTGAATTTATGGTGATGATATCTTAATACTCAATTTACCTTGATGTTAAGTTGATCTCAAAGAATCTTTAGACTCTTCAAGAGCTATTTACATGTCTCAAGATTTTTTTTGCAGATTCAAAATGTTAGTGGCAGATTTAAAAAAACAAAAAAAAAATTTTGGAGTCAATATATAATAATATATTATGAAGAGAGTTTAATCTTAATTTTAATTAAGATGGGTGAATTTAGAAATTTATAGGTATTTAAAGGAAATTTATATAAAAAGACGATCTATTATACCGCCCTTTTGTCAATATACATATTACATTTGTTGTCGAGGACTCCCAATTTCATTATACCAAATAAAAAAAAAAATAGATTTAATATAATAATAATAATAATAATTTTAATCATTTGTAATTTTAAAATCTTATAATCATAAATTTATCTATTCATAACAAGCTTATGGAATAAGCTTATATACATAGGTTTGAGATGAGATATTTATTCAAAATATAAAACTTAGTCAATTCCCCTCTTTTTGAGCTAGCTTTTGAGGAGCGAATTGTTATTGATCTATTATATAACATGGTATCAAAACTTGCTTTGCTTCAATGTTTGGGGCACCCGCAAATGTGTTTGCCTATAAATTTTAGGCTCTAGATGTTGATGCCTGGGCATGATGGGTATTGGTTTAGGATAAAATTTTTGTTCAAAATATAAGACTTAGAGAATTCTCCTCTTAAACTATTTTTTAGAGAGTGAATTAGAACCGGTCCATTTTATAATAGTGGTGATATATTTCTTTCAAAAATTTTCAGAAAAAATAAGTGAACTTTCAATTTCGGACTCTAAAATACTAAACTAAAGTCTTGAAATTTCATTAATTATAGTCACCTAACAAAGAATCAACCAAAACATGCTTTCACGTGTGTCTTGCTTTTGTACGATAAATATTTATCCTATGTACCAGAAATTTCATATATAATGTTTCTTTCTATATCATGCATGAATCACATGGGACATGCAAATCATCCATTGACAAGATGAAATTTCCGGCAACATTCGTTATTCAACCATATTAAATACTTAGCAGAAATCAATTCTATGAATATGTGAACCTTATCTCTCAAATGCAACATACCAGAATATGTAAACCTTAATTTTGGTTGTCGTAATTGCACATCACAAATAATTTTTTTTTTTTTCCTTTAAGCTATTATTTGATTAAATTAAAAGTGATTCGTGCTAATTAAAATATCTATATTTATATTTGATAACAAATTCTAGTCTTACATAGGATATCCATTTGTTTCATGATAGAAACCATAATATAATGGCTTGCAATTTTTTTTTCAAAATATTCTATGTAATAGAGATGATGAAATGTATTATTGAAAATTTTTGTATAAGCAAAGAAAATTAATTAATTAATCATGAAAAATTTAATAAACTCCAGTTTTAAACTCAAGCTAACAGGTTTTTCCAATACACCCAAACCTAGCCGGAAAATATTAATAAAATATTATTGAAAATTGATTAAAGGATATGTTAGAAAAATTATAAAAGTAATGATAAACTGGTAGTGGGTGCAGCTAAAGATGTAAGTCAAATTGATCAAATTCTGGCTTACAAAATATTCAAGTTGGACTTAGATTTAATTGATTAAACAGGAAATTCATAATATTGTAATTTTGGCTTCGGTTGTTTGTGAGCTTATTGGGTATTTTAGACAAATTTTATATTATACAATATTTTAAAATAATAATTAATAATTCAACTTGATTCGGAATCTCTCCAATTCAAGATCTCTTATTCTCTATATTTTCTATAAAATGTGAAAAAAACAATCAAATTACTGCTGATTGGCTAAAATATATGAAGTGTTTGAATATAGCTGACCCATGATCATAGTTATTAGAGTAGAATTTTTTTAATACCACTATAATTCAAACGGTAATTCAATAATATATATGTAGAGGTTTTATTCAGTTAGTATAAGTTTTTAAATATAAAAATCAAATTGAATTAAATTTATACTGTATTTAAATGTGAGAATACGAGAAATAATGAGATTTCTAATAATGCATTTAATGAAATTTGAATATAAAATAATTTTAGTCATGAACAGTTAAAAAAAAAATATATTTTATTAATTAATTGGATAATAAATTATTTTTAAATAAATACGTAAAAATAAGTAAAGTGCCGTTTGTTTTCGATTAAGTTTCTTGTTTTCATTTTTTTATAAACAAAACCTGTTTGTTTAAACTTGTTTAATTTTTTTCTTTACTTTCAGAAAAATGTTTTGAAAATAAAAAATAAATTTTATGAAACCACAAAAAGTGGTTTAACAGAATTGTGTTTTTTGTTTTTAATTCTATTTTCTCATTTTTTTTATAAGATTTATCCTTATAAAATTATTGTTGTTATTGTTGTTGTTACTATTATTTTCTCTATCTATATAAATCTAATGTCATTATTTATCCAAAATATACAAGCATTTATTTTTATGTCTATTCGATTTCTCAGCTTTTTTTTTTTTTTTTATTCTCTATCTATATTAAATCTCATGTCATTATTTATCCAAAATATACAAGCATCTTATGTTTTATGTTCTATTCGATTTCTTCAGCTTTTTTTTTTTTTTCTATCTCTTCTCTATGTTCTCTATCTATATAAATCTAATGTCATTATTTATCCAAAATATACAAGCATTTATTTTTATGTCTATTCGATTTCTCAGCTTTTTTTTTTTTTTCTATCTCTTCTCTATGTAGTGAACATATGTAAATAAAATGAACATATGTGTATATGAGATGACAAACGGTTGAAAATTTTAATTTTAAAAATATAGATAATATTTTATTGTTATATCTATATATCCATATATATTGAAGCATATTTATTAGGTGATATTGTCAAATTTTACATATACAGTTATAATGAATTTAAGATAAATGACGATATAAATTGAAATAAAGTGTGTGTATATACACACTTCTATTTTATTAATTAACCATTATATTCACATTGATCTTATATGAAATTTTGTTTTAACATTATAAAAATTTAGATAATATAAGATAAACATTATAATTAATATTTAATATTAAAAAATAAAAAAGAGTATAAATAATAAGTAAAATTACGTAATAATATAAAAAATTAAACGAATACGAATAACGAGTATAATCGATGTGCAACACACGTTTATAAAAAGACTAGTTAATAAAATAAAATTAAAATGTATACTCAGAATGAATCAACTTACTTAATAAATCAATTTAAAAACTGAATTTCACACTTCTACTTTATTTTTTTTTATTTGAGGTTAAGTCTTATATTTGACCTGGACCAAGACAATTAATAATATCCAAGTGAAAAAGCCTACCTTTCTCCATTTTTTAAAACTGAAAATAGTCTAATTAAGTAATAAAAAATTCTACTAATAAAAAACTTATTGCATGCCAATCTTTACTACCAATATTGACCCACGTATTCATTTCTTGGCAACCATCCCTCAATTTCCAAAGCAAATTAAAAGAAAAATCAAACTGTCTAATCATACACTGAAAAGTAATGTATTGGTGGAAAAATAAATAAAATAAAGCCATCACAAAAATATGTCTTCACCAAAAGCCATTCCGTAGACAAAACGTGTTAATGTGCACGTGTAATTTATTAATCTTTTCATATTTTATAAAAAATATAAGAATTGTCATTAATATTAAGAGTTTTCGTTAATTTATAATATATATATATATATAATAAATAGTAATCCAATTTGGTTCATCCTTTTACAGATTAGATTAAGAAAGTTGAAAATCAATTGATTGAAATTGCTTAAAGAGAAAGTGCATAACTATATTTCTTCAGTTTCTATCCGTATTGTCATTAAATTCGCGAGTTTAGATAAAAATTCCGATCTAATGACGTTTGCAAGAAAAAGAAAAGGTAACCAAAATGTAGAACTTCCAATGGAAGAATAGAATAACAAAAGGCCGTTGCCAAAATAGAAAAATAACAAGTAAAATAAGCCAACTGTTGTTGCACACACACATCGTCATTTGTCTTAGCAGTTAGCTATAGCACCATAACTTTGACTTCTTTCACTTCCTCTATAAATTCCAAGAAAAATCAATATATCTTCACACCTTCCCCGCCAACATCAACAGCAAGAATCAAGAAATCAAGAATCAAACATCCATCTTGAATTCTTGATATGGCCTTCTCCGCAACAATCCCCACCTGTGATAGCTCTCTTCTTCTCAAGAAATACACCTTCAATGGCCTCAAACACCACCCTAAACTTCAATTTAACCACCTCAAGTTTCTAGTACCTATGAAAATGACTGCCGTCGCCGCCACCACCACCAGGGCAGTTTCAATCTCCTCTTCGACGGCACAACCAATTGAAACCACCCAAGAATCTGTTTCCTTCTCACCAAAGATTCCTCTCCCTGACTTTCCGTTTGAACAATACATGGCAGTAAAGGCAAAGAATGTTAATAAGGCACTAGACGAGGCAATTCCTTTACAACATCCATTGAAAATCCATGAAGCAATGAGATATTCTCTTCTCGCTGGCGGGAAGCGTGTCCGGCCAGTTCTATGCATCGCTGCTTGTGAATTAGTAGGTGGAGATGAAGCAACGGCTATGCCATCTGCATGTGCAATGGAAATGATACACACTATGTCTTTAATTCATGACGATCTCCCTTGCATGGATAATGATGATCTTCGACGTGGAAAACCTACTAATCATAAAATGTTTGACGAAGAAACTGCGATTCTTGCTGGCGATGCATTGCTTTCTTTTGCATTTGAACACGTAGCTAGAGCAACCAAGAACGTTTCACCTGAACGAGTGGTTCGTGCCATAGCTGAGATGGGATCGGCTGTTGGGTCAGAAGGACTAGTAGCAGGACAAATTGTTGACATTTGTAGTGAGGGGAAAGAGATAACTGTTAGAGATTTGGAGTATATTCATATTCATAAAACCGCTAAGCTTTTAGAAGCAGCAGTTGTTTGCGGTGCAATTGTAGGCGGAGCAGATGATGAGAGCATCGAAAGAGTGAGAAGATATGCAAGGTGTATAGGGTTATTATTTCAAGTTGTTGATGACATTTTGGATGTGACAAAGTCGTCAGAAGAACTCGGAAAGACTGCCGGAAAAGATTTGATAAGCGATAAAGCAACTTACCCTAAGCTTTTGGGCATTGATGAGGCAAGAAAATTAGCAGCAAAGTTGGTAGATGAAGCTAATCAAGAACTTGCTTATTTTGATTCTGCCAAGGCTGCTCCGTTATACCATTTTGCTAATTACATTGCTAGTAGACAAAATTAATTGTTTTTCGTTGTTGTTGACTTCTTGTTATTATTTAATGGCTGCTAATAATGGTACTTTGATTTGTAATTAACAAATGGAGAGAGGCTCTCTTTTTCAACAATTTGGAAAAATAATAAACAATACTGTTGGTGAACTTTTTGTAGTTTACTATTCTTTTGTCCACTATTGTTAACTGTATCATATTCATAACCAAAGAAATATAATTGATTATCATCAACTCTTAATTGAAGTCGAGAGTTGATTCTCATAAGTTGAGTACATACTTACTGAAGGTACTTTATCTCTAATGAATTGACCGGTGCATGCATGATTTACTTTTAATCCAATGAGCTGGAAATACCGGAGCCGAATACGCCCTGACCCAGAGAGCATCTGACTTAACTAGATATTTAGCCATAGGAGACCAACTCTAAACCAATCCATCTCAATCTTCAATATTATGACTTAGAGAACGAGGTCTAACAGAAAAATCTTTGTATTAAATAGAATCCAAGAGATGAAATTAGATGTTTTGTTTGTCATACTTCTAAATCTTGTTTTAGAAAACAATTTATGTAATGTTTTAGAAAACAATTTATGGAAAGCATGAAAGAAAAAGGAAAAATTGCCAGTTTAGAAACCTATTGAAGCTGTGATGACCAAAAACGTTCTGCAATAAATAAATGTCCAAGCTTTCGTTTCTAAATAAAGATATTAACTTGCTCAAAAAAATGAGATCAATATTCGTGTGCCCATCACGTCTTTATTTTGAGGTATGTGCTAGCTACGGTTGAGCTGGTGAGCTACTGTTTAACACCTCTTCAAGGTTATCCATTTTTGGACCGATAAGAAAATATGAACCCGAACTTGCTCGAAAAAATGAGATCAATATTCGTGTGCCCATCACATCTTTATTTTGAGGTATGTGCTAGCTACGGTGTGCTAGCTACGGTTGAGCTGGTGAGCTACTGTTTAACACCTCTTCAAGGTTATCCATTTTTGGACCGATAAGAAAATATGAACCCGAACTTGCTCGAAAAAATGAGATCAATATTCGTGTGCCCATCACATCTTTATTTTGAGGTATGTGCTAGCTACGGTTGAGCTGGTGAGTGACTGTTTGACACCTCTTCAATGTATGAAAGCCGAAACAAAGAGAAGATTCAATGCTTCTTTCTATGTTGAGTATTTTATTTATCTTTCTTAAGAAATTTTTAGAATTTTGTTTTATTTATTCTCAATTGATTGGATGTATATGGATAATTAAGCTTTAAAAATTAGTTCCGTAGAGATAATTAGTATAGGCTTTTAATTCTATTTTCCATTCCATCTCCATCCTCATCAGACCTAAAAACATCAAACGTTGTTCTCTCAATGACTCGTTCCAAGGCCTTTCTTCTCGCCGTTCTCAAGAAGAAAGCTAATATGCTCAACCACGATCTAGAACGCTAATATTTTGGATGGTTTTTTGATTGATTGTAATTTCATTTCAATTTTAATTGTATTGAATCTTTACTATCTCTGGTGATTCAGACTGTTTTCGGCGACTTCAGTCTGCAATATATATTAAAAACAATTTCTGTCTTGCGACTTCAATTCGCAATATAAATTGAATATGCTGCAATTTTTGCATCTGAAACGGATAATGTATATAAATAAAAGTTCGTTTTTTTATATATTTGTTCATGCATGACTTCAATACATTTGCTTCGGCGTTCATAGCACCAGCACTCTTCTATATTATTTATCTATGTATTTGATTTGTGCATATGCTTGTTTGTTACTTATTACACTTATTGCTGTAATAATTAATATATTTATTTTTGGAAATAAAGTTCTTTTTATCGATTTTTCTTAGTTTTAGAATTGGTTTTAAGAACCACGGTACGAGGTGGGAAAAGAAATTTCAGAACTGTGCTGGAGAGAATTTTATTCTTTCAAGAAAAGAAGGAAACTGGATTTGCATATTATTTAAATAATTCTACTCACCCAAGAAGGGGAAATCTAGGGAGTTTCAAGATGCACTTAAAACTATCATAAAATGCATCAGCAGTCTACCTAAATATTATGTGAAGGTAACAACCCATATTTAATTACACATTTGATGATTGACATTATTCAATGATTTGGATTGAAAATAATATATTGAATTTGATAAGTAAGGATCCAACACAAGCTAATAAAAAATTTCGTTCTAAGATACTTCGAGATAGTTTCAACTTGATATGCCTGTACAACAGGTTCTTGGTAAGTTTTCTAAATCTATATGTTTTAATAGTTTAAAAACCTTCATGAAAGTTTTAGAGTTCATGTCTCAACTATGGCTTAGATGATTGACTAACCTGTAGACTCATCCAGAGTTCATGTAAGAAATTTACAAATTGAAGAAAGCCTATATATAATTAAACTTAGCACTTAGATATTGTTGAAAGCAGATGGAAGTATTAGATAATTGCAATTTGGATGCTTTTGATTTTATTTGTTCAAATTGTCTTTTTTTTCACCATTTCTTCAATCTTTGCTTTATTCCTAAAGCATTGTCCTATAGCTGTAGATGTTGATGTTGTTGTATATTACATTGTAATAATATATTTTTCTATACCAAGTTGGTCTATTTTATAAATGACAAGCTTAATCTGACATTTATTTTGACTTGCAGATTGTTAACGGTAATGATATACAAAAGATAAAAGGGAAATTCTCTTTGCACTTTATCTTCTAGTTTTGCATATTTTTCTTTGGAGAAAATTGAAATCATCTAATAGATTCTATTTACTTTTTTCAATGTATCATCTTATGATGACCAATATTACATTTAAGATTAATGAAATTATAGAAAGAGTTCACTACTCATATTTTTTTTCCCTTTTTTATTTTTTTTTTTTGAGTACTAGGTATAGAGAACGAGGATTCGAATTTGAATCAATTGTAAGATCATTACACAGATTTAACTAGTAATAAATAAATGAATCATATAAATTAAGGCACAAAATTCTTCCTCTTTTCTATAAAATTATTGAAAATACATGTAGTTAATTTTTTGTATTAAAAAAAAAAAACAACATAGTCAATAGTTCTTTTATAACATTAATAGAATTAATGATTGTAAGGAAATACTTTAGCTAACTCAAAAAAGTTTAGTTAAGAAGAAAAAAGGGGATAATGAAGGGCTTCCAACTTTATCACGAAAAGTCCAATACATGCAGCTATCCTTTTTTTCTTTTTTTTGAAGAAGAAAGTTGGAATTTATTAATCATCCAAGCTTTGTAAGGAAATACTTTAGCTAACTCAAAAAAGTTTAGTTAAGAAGAAAAAAGGGGATAATGAAGGGCTTCCAACTTTATCACGAAAAGTCCAATACATGCAGCTATCCTTTTTTTCTTTTTTTTGAAGAAGAAAGTTGGAATTTATTAATCATCCAAGCTTAAAATAGATAATACAAAGGGAGGGAAATCACGTAACCACTCCCCCACATTCGACATTGTTCGAGATGCTTGAGCAAGCCTATGAGCAATCTCATTTGACGAACGATAAACATGCCTAAACTCAACTTCACATCTAATCCGTGAAGAAACTTGACGAATAGAATTGATAATATCACTAAAAATAGTACCATCCAAATAACAATGGTCATGTAGCGCATTTATCACCATTAAGTTGTCACTTTCGACAACTAATCTGCTCCATCCTTTTCCCTCCAACCAGCTTAAAGCTTCCTTGACTGCCATAGCCTTAGCTTCCTTTAGCCTTAAGCTCGCTCCAAACCTGCCAATCTTCAATCCCAGCACAGCGCCATTACTATCTCTCACCACCACGCCAAATCCAGCACAAGAATCCCCCACCGCCCCTGCCGCATCGACATTCACTTTAACCCAGTTAAGTTCAGGTCGCTATCACTTAATTGCTGTTGCAGCACCTCTTCCCACTACAACATTGGCCTTCAACCAATCCTCAAGAAACCTCCACGCCCTCATCCATATAGCCATAGCCAATGGAAATTATTGCTTCCATATCACAGTATTTCGAGAATTCCAGATTTGCTAGCACACAGTTAATGCCATTGCTGCATCCTTATCATTAAAGATGCAAAAAATCTGACCAAGCCATTCCTGAAACGAGTTCACAATAAGCGAGTACCAACCTAAAAATGAAGCTTGCCAAACTTGCTTTGAGAAAGAGCAATTGACCAGTAAATGAAGATCAGTCTTATCAAACTGACTACATAATGGGCAATGAGATGGTACTACCACTCTTCTTCTTCTTAATTGATAAAGAGTTGGTAGGGTGCCATTAACTGCTCTCCAGATAAAATTAGTGACCTGTGGTGGCGCTCTGATTTTCGATAATCGACTCCATACATTAATTGCATTCGAAGGCACAACCTGATGGGAGTTTACTGTGAGAGCTTTATAAGCTGACTTCACTGAGTAATGAACTCTCTCTCTTCAAACCTCCAAGCAACCTCATCGATGGCTCCAGCAATCAAAGGAGTGCTCAAAATCAAATCAGCATCACAAGCATTAAATGTGTCCCTTATAAGCTGTAAATTCCACTGGCCATCATCAATCAAATCACGGACATAATAGACACCAAAAATAGGATCAAACGGCATAGTGACAAGAGGATTAACAACATCCCTTAACCACGGCTTAGTCCAAAGAGCAATTCGTTTGCCTCTTCCCACCTTCCAGTAAATCCCCTTCCTGATAATCTCCTGACTTTCACGAATGCTCCTCCAAAGATAGCTTGGGTTATTATCCAAAGGAGCTTCTAGAAACGTAAAGGTGGCATAATACCTCGCCTTTAAGAGCCTAGCAACAAGGGAATTGGGTTCCTTCAATAGCTTCCACCCGATCTTCCCAAGAACAGCAATATTGAACTCCCTTAGCTGCTTGAACGCAAGTACTCTTGCTTTTTTATCCCGACAAAGGCGCTCCCAACTCATCCAGTGAATACCATGATTATTTTCTATCGTACCCCACCAAAATTGACACATTATCTTCTTTAGTTCCTCACAAGAGATTTAGGAAATAGGAATAACATCATAACATAATTCGTATTGCTAGGAGCATTGTCTTTAAGAGAATTTCTTTGCTAGGCTTAGATAACTTCTTTGCCTTCTATGAATTTAGCTTCTTCCATACACGGTCCTTAATATAGCCAAACACTTCCTTCTTATTTTGTCCAATTGACATAGGAAGTCCAAGACAAGTGCCAAGGTCATCATGCTCCCTAACTTATAGCAGAGAACAAATATCTGATCTTATGGTGGCATCGGTGTTAGGACTAAAATAAATCAAAGACTTATTAAAATTAACGACCTGGCCTGAGGCTAATTCATAGTCTTGCAACAATAATCTGACCGTCTGAGCTTCATTTAAGGGAGCCTTAAAAAACAAAACAAGATCATCTGCAAAGAACAGATGTGACACCGTTGGAGCTCCAGTAATCACTTTAACCCCCATGAATGGAGCCCAATCTCTCTCTAGCTTGAATCAATTGGGTCAAAACTTCAGCATAGATAATAAATAAATATGGACTCAAGGGATCCCCCTGCCGCAATCCTCTCCCTGAAACAATAGGACCAATAAATCTCCCTTGTTGCAACACTTATATAAGATACCAAAGAGACACAGAAATTAATCAAATCAACCCACTTCTCATTGAAACCCATTTCACCATTACTGCTTTCAAAAAACCCCACTCAAGCCTATCATAGGCCTTACTAATATCTATTTTCAGTGCAGCAAATCCGACCCGACCATGCTTTCGAGCTCTCAAATAATGAAGAGATTCAAAAGCTACTATTGAATTGTCCTGGATATGCCTTCCCCCCACAAAAGCACTCTGAGTGGGAGAAATAACATGAGGAAGAATCACTTTCAACCTATTCGCATACATCTTCGCTATAATCTTATAAAGCACTTGGCACAAAGCAATTGGGCGTAAATCAGCCATACACTCAGGAGTTTGCTTTTTTGGAATTAAAACCAACACTGTTTCGTTCAATTCGGTAGGAAACGTACCTGAATTCGCATAAGCAATACAAAAGGTCGTCACATCATCTCCAATAATACTCCAATACTACTGATAAAACCCTAGGTTCAAACCATCGCAACCCAGAGATTTGTCGCAACCTATGCTAAAAATGGATTGCTTCACTTCTTCTATTGAAAAAGGTTCCTCAAGCAACTCATTATCGTCCTCAGAAACACATCGAGGAACCAGGCTGAGAATATTATCTGGAGAATATGCTTGTGTCGAGTATAAATCCACAAAATAATTCATGATCACCTCACTAAGCCCTGTGTCCCAATTCTTCAACTCCCCATTCACATCTTTCAGCTACTCAATTCGATTTCTCTTTTTTTTTTTTTGCAAATGCCTTAGCATGAAAAAAAATCTGTGTTTCGATTAGCCCCTTGCAGCCATTCTTCCTTTGCCCTTTGTTTCCAGAATAGCTCACGTTGCTCATATAATTCAGCGAGCCTTGCCCTGGCCTGCAGAAAATTTCGGATCCGACTGTGATCTCCTACCTCTCAATTGCTTCAATTTTTATCTACACTCATCCAGCTCCACTTTAAACTTGCGTCAATAGTTCTGCCTCCACTCATCAAGAGATATACTACAAACCGCAAGTTTCTTAATTAGATTAGCTCCCCTATGAAGCCTCCAACAATCCTCGACCACTTGACGGCATTCTGGCTCCCTAAACCAATGGTTCTCATAACGAAACAAATGCACTCTTTGCCTGCGAACATAAACTTGAACTTGGATAAATAAAGGTAAATGGTCATAAGTAGTTAAGTCAAGGACCATCCCTGTAGACATATGGAACAAATTCCTTTATCCTTCAGAAACTAAACATCGGCACGCTTAGCTTCCACGTGATCAGCCCCTACCCGACCATTGTCTCAAGTGAACTGGTACCCATCTAACTTCAAGTCCGAGAGACCAGCTCTCATAATAGCATTTTGGAACCCATAGAGTAAATTTGCCGGCTGTGGAAGACCACCTCTCTTCTCAGAATTATACAGGATATCATTAAAGTCCCCAACGCAAACCCATGGGAGAGCAAAAACCGAAGCAAGGTCACCCAACAACTCCCAAGTCTCATGCCTTCTATTTCTATTAGCCTGCCCACAAAAACCTGTTAACCACCAAGGCTCCAACCCCTGAACATCAACTTTCACATCAATAAAATGAGAAGAACCCAATATATTTACACAGCTAACCCCCTTCCATAAAAAGCTAGCCCCCCACTATGACCATTACTATCAACTGAATACAAATCATCATTGTCTAATAAAGACTTTATTTCATTAACTTTATTTGAATTACAAATTGTCTCAACAAGAAAAATAAAATTAGGACGCTTTTCACAAACTAGTTGCCGCAAATTCTAAACTGCCTTGGTGTTGCTGAGGAACATCAACTTTCACATCAATAAAATGAGAAGAACCCAATATATTTACACAGCTAACCCCCTTCCATAAAAAGCTAGCCCCCCACTATGACCATTACTATCAACTGAATACAAATCATCATTGTCTAATAAAGACTTTATTTCATTAACTTTATTTGAATTACAAATTGTCTCAACAAGAAAAATAAAATTAGGACGCTTTTCACAAACTAGTTGCCGCAAATTCTAAACTGCCTTGGTGTTGCTGAGCCCTCGACAGTTCCAACTTAACAGACTCATTTTTGTCAGCGGGCCTGAGTACCAAAACCTGCCGCTTTCCCATTTTTTGGATCCTTAAAAGACCCATTTTTTGGTCCTTTGTAGGCCCATTTTCTGTATTGATATCTTAGGCCTTAGTACTCGCCTCCTCTTGGCCCATTCTTCTTCTCTTCGGATGATTCAATAAGATACCATCTGCTGCACTTGAGTCCAAGTTCTCATCCACAATCATTGCGTTATCTCCTTCCTTATCAACTCCCACATTCTCGCCTAAATTTGAGGTTTGTTTCGAAAAATTAAGAGGCTGCATCCTACCCATCATGGGCTCTCCAAAATTGTGCCGTCGTACCCCTTGGCTCTGATCACCACTTCCAGGAGTGCAGTCGTGTCCAACATAGCCTTCATTATGAAGCCATTTTGCCCCTGTTGATAATTGTAGACGTCGTGGATTAGCTCTTAAATAGGGACCAAACTTCCTAATCATTGGAGCACCATCATTCAACACCGGCAAAGGACAAAATTTCTCACTATGTCCTATTATACCACAAACAAAGCAAAACTCAGGAATTCATTCATATTCGAGGTTGACCCAAAACCAGTCTGAATCGTCCTGCTTCCTCAACTTCAATCTTTCACGAATGGGTTTATTGATATCCCATTTAACACGAACCCAAAGATAGTCTCTCTTCTTTGTGAAATTCTCAGGGTCAGTCTTCACAAATATCCCCAAATCATTCACCAACCTTTCTAAAACATAATCTGACTTGTATTCTAAAACATAATCTGACTTGTATCCAGGGCGTAAACCATACAAGTGAATCCATAAATACAATCCATTCAACGATACCTCACATGGATGGGTAAACCCCTCCATTCTATCCAGGATAAGAATCTGATTGTTGAACATCCATGGGCACATATCAAGGGCTCTCTCCATATCAATTTTGTGGTAAAACTGAAAGGTATAGATCCCCCCTTCTAACTCCCTGATCAGCATCCCCATGCTTGGTTTCATTAATGAAGCTAATGTCAATTTCAAAGCTATAAAATTGATGGGTCTATCTAATATAAAGCGACCCACCAAACAAAGATTAGGGTTAGTTTCCTCCTCCTCCTCTTTACTAATCTCATCAGCCTTAAAAACAATACCCTCATCGCTATCGTCGCTAACGGAGAGATTAGCCATATCGACGGAAATATTGTCAGCCTCCATTCTCAGAATAAAAGACTTGCTAACAAGCAAGACGAAAAACTTCTCAGACGAGAGAAGACTCGTATATATGGTCGAATAAAAGTATTATATTAGTATTATATTAGCAGCTATCCTATTTGATTATGAGATTAAATAAAAACATGACAGTTTTTTTAAAGATAATCTTTAAATATGCATGTTTTCATTATTTTTATAAAAAATTATAAAATAATTAACAATTTATGATAAAAATAAAGATTAATTATTCTTATTTTTTGAGATTCCACGTAAAATATTTCTAATTATTTTTACTCACTCGCATGCGAAGCGCGGTATTACGATTAGTTATAATATTATTATTAAGGTAACCCAACAAATATTAAGATATCCTTTTCATATTTAAATTCTTCTCTTATTATTATTATTATTATTATTTATTATTATTATTTATTATTATTATTATATTATTATTATTATTATTATTATTACAAGTTTAATCTGTCACAAATATATATTTGTCTATAGTTATTATGTATGGCTCATTTATAGACTAAGCGAGTAATTTGGCTATTTTATTTTATTATAATTTATTACTACTATTTTGTATTTATCTTTTGAAAAAGGCACCGATTTCTTATTCTATTAAATATGTTTATTGGATTAGTTCGGATAGGATGGGTCAACGTACTAAATATAATCTACTACTACTTTCTTTCTTTTTTTTTTTTTTTATTCCAATAAAAAGATATTAAGATTAGAAATAAGTACATATACGATCTGATAGAAGATTCAGATTCGAATCTGTCAGTGAAATAGGACGTCTAGAAAGTGTACGACGAAGCACTCGTGGTACGTAAGTGAATACGAATCATGTAGGTTTGTATTGATTCGCTTCCTTCTCCCGGTATTAAAAAAAACATCAGCAATTTGCTAAGTGTATATACATAGATAGTTAAAGTGATAAAATAGAACAATTTCTTTATTTTCAAAAATAAATTAGGGAAGAATTAAACGTGCTCAATTATGCACTAAAAATTGAAAAGTTGTATATAAAAGAAAATAAATAAATTAAAGCCATAAAAAAAAAACATAGAAATAAGTAAGAAGAGAAGAAAAGGAAAGCCAAGTGTTATTGCACACACTAGAGTCCAAAACCATATTAGAACGAATAATCAGAAGACAAAAGTCATAGCACCCAAATTTTGAATTCTTTCCCATGACTTCCTTTATAAATTCCAACGAAAATCAATAGTTTCACACCCTAACCACCACTACTACTACTACCACCACCACTACCACCAATAAGAATCAACAAAACAAAATTCAAAAAGTACATCTTAACTTCTTGATATGGCCTTCTCTGCAACAATTCCCACCTGTGATAATTCCATACTTTTCAAGAAATCCACCTTCAATGGCCTCAGTCATCCTAAGCTCCCGATTCACCACCTCAAGTTTCTTGCTCCTATGAAAACATTCACCACCACCCGAGTGGTTTCAAACTCCTCTTCCTCAGTGACGCAACCGCTTGAAACCACCCTAAAATCTGTCTCCTTCTCACCAAAGATTCCTCTCCCTGACTTCCCATTTGAACAATACATGGCAATCAAGGCAAAGAATGTTAATAAGGCAATAGATGAGGCTATTCCTTTGCAACATCCATTAAAAATCCACGAAGCGATGAGATACTCTCTTCTCGCCGGCGGGAAGCGTGTCCGGCCAGTTTTATGTATCGCTGCTTGTGAATTAGTCGGTGGAGATGAAGCAACGGCTATGCCATCTGCATGTGCAATGGAAATGATACACACTATGTCTTTAATTCATGACGATCTTCCTTGCATGGATAACGATGATCTTAGACGGGGAAAACCTACTAATCATAAAATGTTTGGGGAAGAAACTGCGATTCTTGCCGGCGATGCTATGCTTTCTTTTGCATTCGAACACGTAGCTAGAGCAACCAAGAACGTCTCATCTGATCGAGTGGTTCGAGCCATAGGTGAGCTGGGATCGGCTGTTGGGTCAGAAGGACTAGTAGCAGGACAAATTGTTGATATTTGCAGTGAGGGGAAAGAGGTAACTGTTAAAGATTTGGAGTATATTCATATTCATAAAACCGCTAAGCTTTTAGAAGCAGCAGTTGTTTGCGGTGCAATTGTAGGCGGAGCCGATGATGAGAGCATCGAAAGAGTGAGAAAATATGCAAGGTGTATAGGATTATTATTCCAAGTGATTGATGATATTTTGGATGTGACAAAGTCATCGGAAGAGCTCGGAAAGACTGCCGGAAAAGATTTGGTAAGTGATAAAGCAACTTATCCTAAGCTTCTGGGCATTGATGAGGCAAGAAAATTAGCAGCTAAGTTGGTAGATGAAGCTAATCAAGAACTTGCTTATTTTGATTCTGCCAGGGCTGCCCCATTATACCATTTTGCTAATTACATTGCTAGTAGACAAAATTAATCAGTGGGTTAATCATAATTTTATTGTCTTTCTTGTTGTTTTTCCTATTTCTTTTTCTTTTTTTTTAAACAACTTTGTTGTTCTTATATATTGTATAATTTAACATTACATGTATCAATGTACTTATCTGCTGCTTTAAAAATTTTTCGCGTATAATGTAAGTTTTTTAACCATTTGGTAACACTGGTACCAGTGACCGATCTGAAAATATTTTTCTCCAAGGTAAAGATATAATTTTATGAAAAAAAAAAAAAAAAAAAAAAAAAAAGAGAGTCAAGGACAACAAAATTAAACTTTATTGAATTAAAATTAAATAAAGTATACATTATTTTTTTATATTAGAAAAAAAAAAAAAAAAAAAAAGAGAGTCAAGGACAAACAAAATTAAACTTTATGAATTAAATTAAATAAATATACATTATATATATTAGAAAAACTCCAAAAAAGGAGGGTCAACTCATTCCTCTTTCAATACAGTGAATCCACCCTTATTTGATATAGTGAATCCGCCGTTACGAGGGGGCACTGCTTACCTCTATCTATCAAATATTTAATGTTACTTTCAGTTTTTTTTTTTATGAATTAAAAAAATTACCCCTATCTTTGGTTTTTTTTTTTTTTTTCCGATTTGTTCAATGTATGTGGCTTTTATTGAATTATATTATTCTTTTTTGGTATGAGTAAAATTATGCAGAAAATAAAAACTATTTCCTAAGTTAATGTTGTTTTCAAACTATTTATAAAATAATGTGAAAATTTATTGGGTGTTTAAATAAATATAATCTGTCAATTTGAGAAACAAATTTAGGGTAAAAAAGAATTATTGAAGACAAATATGAATTTGTCAGCATTGCAAAAGGATTCAGATGAGACAATTAAAAAACAAAAAAAATCAATATCGACAACCGTGAGCTAAGAAAGAGGAAGTGGGAAAATTTTGTTTTTGGTAGTGGATATGTTTTGCTTTGGTGACGGATCGATCTGCGTGGGTTAATTTCATTGGTGGTGACTAAATTTAAAGGATAACAATATTATGGTGATTAAAAATACTGTAACATCAATTTGGTAATATTAAAATGTCTTTGCACATTTTCATTGATTTCCGATGATTATCATGTAGCTGAATCCGTTCTGACATATTGATAGATTCATACTTTTTTTTCCAAAATTTCCAATTTCGGACGTTTCAAAAAATCAGTAAGGAAAAATATTTTTCTGATAAAAAAAATTAAGTCATTTTCTATTTTTAGAAGTGTAAAATATTTTCGAACATTACTAAACTTATTATAATTTTATAAAATATATATTTTTAATTTATTAATTACTTGTAGCCACCACCATCGGTCACAGTTTTTTATTCATCTTTTTTTATATTTAACAATAAATTTTTAGAATACAAAATTCTTAAAATTATAAATACTTTTCTCGTCTTAAAAGTTAAAAATTTTAATATTTTTTAATATTATAACCAACGGAAAATGATTTTTTTTTCCCATAATTAAGCCTAAGTTTGATTCTCAAATTGACAAATTATAATCAATTAAACACCCAATAAATTTTCACATTATTATTATAAATGGTGTTAAAAAAAATATTAATTTAGAAAATAAATTTTTTCTGCATTATTTTAAGTCATAACCCTTCTCTTTTTGGGTCGACTCTATATACATCACAACAAGGACAAAGTGACATTTCTTATAGTTTAGAGTTAGAGATCTTAGACATTTTATGACATTCATTTACTAAATGGTACATAATTTTTTATTTTATTGTATTAAATTAATTTATAATTAATAAATATGAAAATTGATAAATTATTCGTAATGCGAAATCATAAATAAATTATACAAAATTTTAATATCATTTATCCAAACAAAAATAGATATGTAGTTAATATGTTTCCATATAATTGAGTCCTCATATTTGTATTTTCCATTTTCGTCCATGAATGCCTAAACTGAATCTATTTCCCTTGTATGATAACAATTATGGATAATGAAATTCACAAATATGATGTTTGGTGGTATTTTACAGTAAATAGTGGGGATTAAAAAAATGTACTTAGTTTTAGAATTGGTACAACCAAAAAAATAATTCTGAGGATGTAGACTTGTTTATTTGCTGTCTTGTCCATATACAAGAAGTCAAGTGGGTCTTGCTTTCAAATGAACAAATCCAATGGGCAAAGGTGAGAAAATAAAGTTTCCAAATAAGAATTTTCATTTCCCCTTATCATTAAAAATATCAGCCAACTCTATTATTGATTAATAATAGTAAAATTGAATGTTTTGATCTATACGAATATTTGTAATTCTTAATATTATTATTAATGAATTATATTTACAAAACAAATTTATATCGTGTCAATTCTTAAAGGTTAATTTCCTTCTATTAATAAAAAAAAACACGCCGAAGCCATTAAATTTATTTAATATTGATTGTTAATAATAATAAATAGAGCAAAATACTAATCTGAATGGAGTAGTTTAATAGCAAAAAGTACTTATGGCGTTAATTATTATACCTTAAGTCAAGTCAGCTCCTTTACCTTTGACACGGAGAACATGGCATGGACATCTTGTGCAAGGATTAAAAAAAAAAAAAAAATTCTAAGCCAAGTCCTAACTCCTAAGTCAAATTAAATTCAAAAATTGTTAAAAAATTGTGCATTATTTGTTGTAGTTGCCTTCTCTGACTGCCACCAATTTCCCTTACTCGTCACACCAATTTGGCCAATAACAACATTTTTAATGGAAGAAGTAAAAGTATTTAGCATAGATTAAGGAAAGAATTAATTAAAACAAAAAATTTTCGAAAATGTCATTTTGAGGTGCCGGGTCCAATCAAATTATTTGCATTTACTTTGACTCTTAATTTTTATATTTCTCTCTTTTTCTCATTTTCAATAGTTGCCAAAGAGTCAACACATTCAATTTCACATTTCTTACGTATATATGTGTGTGGGCGGTTCTATATCCATGTGTGGGTCCAATTGACCCACTTAAGTTGAAAAAATATATTTATAATATAGGTTTTAAATTGGCGAAAAATTTAAAAAGTACTGTTGTAAAAAATTTTAGAGTTTTAAATCTAATCTACCCACTAAAAATTATACTATTAATAAAAGACTTCACTAAAAAATATATTTGACTCCACCAATTTGGAATTTCTAACTGGATTGGAACTTCTGGATTTTTCACATCAGAGAGATGAAGTTTCTAAGGCATGGCCGAAATCAACCACAGATTCCGGTTCATAAAATCGGCGGTTCAAAATTTTTAAAATATTGAACGTGAATTGACCTTGAACCGCTGATTTCGATCCAATTTCGGTTCCAGCAGGTTCCAGTGTAGTTCTAATTGCATTTTTTAGCGATATCTGTATTTTTTTTTAAAAAAAAAAAATCGATTCTGATATTATATCTTTCTTTCAAAAAAATTAATGAGTTTAAAAACTATTGGTAAGTTTTATTTTAAATAAATTTTAAAATGCCCATATTCGAATAAGAATAAAATTAATTAATTTTACAAAATAATCAAATAAATTATCATTTTATTTTGTTTAAACGTTATTAATCGAATAAATTGTTAGAAAATTTTAAAAGGTGCTTCAAATAATGTAATTTTGAACTAAGTAAACAATTTAAAAGGAAAAGAAAAAGTTAAAACAATATAATTTTATATATTTCACTTTTTTTTTTATCATTTTACTTTTTAAATTTTTAACTTTTCAAGTGAAATATATTTAAAAAAAAAAGCTTAAGTAAAGTGTATCCTGTATTAAAATATTATTTAGTCTTTTAGAAGTGTATAAAATAAGCAAAGTGATTATCATTTTGAAAATTTAAAAAAAAATTAGGTTAAGTGATTATTATTTTGAAAACAAAAATAGAAAATTTACGTTTTAGACCGGCCCAAAACAAGCGGTTCCTGACCGACTTAGATTCAGATTTTAACATTTATATGAATTTTAATCGGCCCTTGAACTGTCGTTTCCGATTCAAAACTTTGAACTGACGGTTCTAGTTCGATTCCAGTTCATCTATAATATGGTTCGGTTCCGATTCAAAATGAACCGATGGTCATGCCTTCGCTAATTCCTAGTTTGTGGGTCCCACAATAATTAAAAATGCAATAATTTTATAGGTCCCAATTTATGGGTCCTATAATAAGGCTAATTCTGTCTTTTTAATTAAAGTTAAAAGGAAAAAATATTTCTCTTTGACGAAAGGATTAGAAAGTCGGACGCAGGCATACTTGAAGGACTGCGAAATAATTTGAAAGTCAGACCGAGGCATACGTAAAGGACTGCGAAATAGTTTAAATAAACGAGGACAAAATCATGTATTTTGTAAAACCTCAGGGATCCGAAAATAATTTTCCCATTTTATATTAATGAAAAACATAAGCAAGATTAGAAACCCAAAGCACCACTTAAATACATGCACTAAAAAAAATTGGTAATATTCATGCATTGTAGACACTGCCTGCCTGCGAGCAGTGTACTCTTTGATAATAATTAGGTACCTACACATATTCAAAACAAATTACAAATCGAATATATCCGTTTGACATTGGACTTACAATTTAAATTTACTCAAAACGGATATATTTATCTACGGTTTCATTAATTCAAAATAAATTCAATTACCTAACTTAATTACGATACCATATAATCCGAGAAACAATTTAGTAATTCTGTTAAAATTATAATGATTACAGTTTTTTGATGAATTACTATTCAATTTTTGTGGTTCACTGAATTTACAAATTTGGATCCTTATTTTCAAAAATGATTTTTTTTTTCGTGAAATAATTTAGATATTATATTAGGTTAATGGACTAAAAATGGTAATTTTAGAACACAATGGATGTGCTAATAATTATGGTAAATAAGTGTGTTACAGAAATTTACCATATACATATATATATATATAACAAAGGATACAAACAAAACCCAGGAGCAACATCGGGTTTATGGATTTACTTTAGAGGAGGTGCAAAAGCAAATATAAAGGCCTATCACCAGTAATTTGTCATGCACATGAATATGATACATAACGTTATGTCAGGAATTTTCTCATATCGACAATGTGGGGATCGATGCCTCAGAAAAAGGGAAAGATTCAGATTTGGTTATACAACTAAATACATGTCAAGAAGGTGATTGGATAAACCTGAGCTCTTCTAACTACGTTTTCAAAGATGACAATAGATACCACTACGGTCTCCTCCAACAAGTTTGAGAAACTTTAACCCAGGACTTTTGGACGCCAACCAGCAATCACATCCTCTGGGAGAGCCCTTGTTTTGGTGAACGAATCCCGTGAGAAAATTGCCTGAACAGCATTCATTAGCATTGTTAGAAAGTAACATCATCACAAACAAAATGCAAGACAGGTATATTTGTCCCAAACTATAATGTGCAGAAGGATATTTTTAGTAGACTTCTGATTTGAAAATTAATCCAAATCAACATGGTGAGAGGAAATAAATGTCAGAGTACATTAGCGGTCACAGCATATCTAGCCCAATTACAAAGTGCCCGGTATGCATTGAAAAAGCATACATACCCTTGAGAGGATCCATTTCACACGCTTTATGAAAACCACTCCATTCCCAGGACCACCTTTTTTCCCTTTTTTTTTTTACCACTAGAACCATATGCATCTTGCAGGAACATCGGCTAAACTGTATTAACACTAGTTTATGTTCCACGGCTGCAGAACAGCTTTAGCTTCATTTTGGTTGTGTGTAAAAGGGAGAAGAAAATAAATCTATTGATGAAAACTAAGGGGGAAATTATTTTCCCTTGTCAGAGACATGGGAAAATAAAAAGTTTCCTACCAAGCCTTTTGCTTCCAATTGGCAAGAAAAAAAGATTCTAGTTTATACATGCAAGTGTACTGACAAATATACAAGGTGAAAAACAATTTTATTTTCCTCTTACTCAAATAAAAAGAGGGGAGAATACATTCTTTTCAAACTTGTGCTTTCTTATTTTCCTTTATTTCTTTTCCTCTCTTTATTTTTTGAAACCTAGTGTCTTAGCGTGAAGTTAATAAAAGTTACTATTGACGTAAAAGAATCAATATCTTTTGAGGCAGAAATAGCCTTCATAAAAGAGCTTCCATCCAGATTGTTTACACTGTAGAAAAAACATTTTAACTGAAATTCTCCATCTCCAATCCCATTTTCATTCTCTTCATTGTGCGTGAACCATGTTCTGACTATAAAAAACCTCATCCAAAACCAGTAATACATAGATATCTGTTTGGCATGGGTTTCAAAGAAAAAGAGTGAGGTGGGACTGGGTGCAGAATGTGGATGTCTGGAACACCATTGAGGTTACCATTTGAAATATTTCAAATCAAGGACTCAAGCTAAAGACAACCATCAATGCCTTGTTCACATTCTACATAGTATACTAATATATATAAATGTAACATGCATGTACGATAGCTCATTTCCTCAAGGACATACCTTCATGTAAGATTTCACATGGGTAAGTGACTCCGGAACTGACCATTGCTTATAATGCCCCAGAGCAATCTCTAGATGGTATAACTTTGGTCCAAGTGACAAATCAGCTGCAGAAACCTTTTCTCCATTGATAAAAGGGCCCTAGCAAAAAAACAAAATAAGAAAAATATTATCACATAATTTTCTGTAAGAAATTATAAAATTCCAAAATCACACCATGCATTTAGGAACTTCTAAAACCAAAAAAAAGGGTCATGTACTGATTCCAACTAAAAAGGTGTTAGTTTAATGACATTGATGATTGCAATAAATCGATTTCTTACATAGAACAAAACTGAGAAGCTAAATGTCCCTGACATGGGGTAGCATTAGAAAATTGGCGTTCTAGTTCACTTATCAAGTGACAAAAGATAAGTTACTGATTAAACAGAACAAAGTACAAGAATTTTCCATGTAAGGTTAATACTAGAATAAAAGATAATGAAGAGGAATTCATGAAACTTAACCATCGTCTAGATGGATGAGTGAGGGTTTATTAAAGCAAGATAAGGGTCTTTTTTATTTTTGGGAGGAACGTAAAATAAATGAAAATTTACCATTCTCATTAAAGTTGTTATTTTTAGATACATTCATTGGTTAGATTTATTTCTGATGACATTAATTTATGGATATTAAATTAGTTCTTCCTAAAATAAATTTGAAAAAAAAATATATAAGAAATAAAAAAGGGGGACAATTTGGGGCTTTTAAATATAAACGTGGATAATATGGGAAACTAAAATTTTTAACTCTCCACAACACCACAATTGGTGGGTTGAAACATGGAGTGTTTTGGAGGTTTTCCAACTCCTCAAATAGCCATTAATAACCTGTCACCCCCAAGGACCCTCTTTCCAAACAACCCAATCACCTTACTTTACATAAAACCTCCTAAATAACCCCCATCCAAACAAGCTGTTAGAGAAGGAGGAGAGAAAAAATGTAAGTGCATGTCCTCAAATTCAATTTTATAACAATTTTAACTAGAATAAAGGATCAGTGCATCAGGATCTTGACATTTCTATCCATCCAATGAAATAGACATCTATTTGAGGATACTAAATAAGTATTAAAATAATAAGCTTGAATTTGAAGGAAATAAGACCTCAAACTCATAATATTCCAACTCTTAAGTAACAAGAACTTCATATATGTCAGGCTATTGCACTTCTTGCACAGAATCAACTTGATGATTTGGCACCAACCAAAATGCAAAGGAACTATTTATCTTCCACAGCTTTCACAAGCGAGAGATTAGAAACCTAGAACATGCTCCCAAGTCCTAAACTAGAAAGACTCTAACCTATAAAACCCAAAAGGAATAGCACTATACCTATGTTTGGATTGCATGCTGTTATATTTGATTTATATATGTCATTTTATTTGACTTGTGTGTTTGTTGGTTATTCTTTGTTACTTAACGGGGTTATAAGTGTTATTATCCTTCTTCTCGAAAATACTTTGTGATTAAGGATGTTACTTTTAGAAAATTTAAGCCTTATTTTCCTTCACCGCAACCTCCTCTTCAAGAGGAGAATAAAGAGGAAGAGGTTGCTCCTGTGTCAGTGTTTGTTCCTAGAGAGTTTTTGAATCCTACCACTAATAATGAGCAGGAACCTGGTAGACAAAATAGATTGGATAGGCCAATATTTAAAAAGGTACAGTCGAAGGGAGATAATGCCATTGAGCATAACATACTAGGTCAAGCGTTATCCCTGCAATTTGTTCCTAAAAAATCATGCGAGTCTTCTATAACTCCTAGTTCTAATTCTGATTTTGGTTGTTCTAACTTTGATCCTACAACTAATGATGTTGATATTCCAATTGCTTTCAGAAAAGGAGTCAGAACTTGTACCGAACACTCTATATCCCAATTTGTTTCTTATATTCATTATCCCTTTCTCATATAGCATTTTTATTGTATGTTTCTACTGTTTCTATTCCACAAAATTGGCAAGAAGCATATCAAGATCCAAAATGGAAAGAAGCAATAGTGGAGGGAATGAAAGCCTTGATAAAAATGGAACTTGATAACTTGTTATTCCTTCATTAAGAAAGAAACTAGTATGATGCAAATGGGTGTTTATTGTAAAGCACAAGGTAGATGGCTTAGTCGAAAGACAAAGCCATATTGGTAGCAAAAAGATTTACTCAGACCTATGGAGTAGACTATCAAGAGACTCCAAATGATAGGAGATCAACTTCTGGTTATTGCACCTTTGCCCTTTTTTATTCTCACATAATCCCACATCATTCACTAATATTTACCTATTCTAGCATCCTAATGAACCAAAAATCAACCTGAAATTTAGAATTTTAAAACCAGCCCTCTAGGCTCCAAGTTATCATATGTCAACATATGCTATTGAGGATAAGAACTTGGAACGTCAAACTGAATGGTAGGTAAAACACTACCAACAAGGTTTCAAAATTATGGAATTGGGGCAACATTAATATCCCATTGCGACAACATTATAGCTGAGATGCATCGGTGTTATCTGCAATAATTTATGAATTTAAGAGGGAATTTTAAACTTCAAAGAGATCTAGAAGATCTACAACTGATGAAACAAAGAGAAATGGAGGGTTAAACAACTAAAACCATTCTGAGTTTCTCATCCTTCCATGTTGCATATACAGTCAGAACAAGATTCTCACTCCATCACTATTGCCAGCACAAAATCACAGGCCAAATTTGGGCGGTAAATACCAAATGTCAGTTGATTACTCTAGTTATCCTTCTAAGGCCACACTCGTTTCCTTCACCTAATATTCCTTCTTTTCCCTCATAGCTCTTCTAATGGTAGAGAGCAATCCCACACACTTTGGCCGACATATTCTTCCCATGACATACCAGCACTATCTTGAAGTCTAAGGATCAAGAGTTTGTTACCCTTTGATAGAGAAATGCTGACTTTGTGAGAGAAACTATAGAAGCTAGTGATGGTAGTTGGAAATTACCAAGCCTCAATGAACAAATGGATAAGCAATACATTTCAATACCTGTTGACAAACTAATTACCAACATACCCTTAATTCTAAGTCTACTAATAAAAAAACTATATTCCATGCAGCAATATCAAGAATTTATAATATATTTGAAAGGGATGAGTTTCCAAGTAACTATTCCTACTCTTGTAAGTTTTAACTATCTAAACTCTAGTCATAAATAAAGAAAAGGTCCACTCTTTTATAAAAATAAAAGTGAGCACATGTCACTAAACAACCACATTAAAATCTTTTAAGTCTTTGTTAAAACAATGTGTCACAAACATGCTTTCCATGTAATAAACTCAATCATGCAACAAATTCTTTAGAAAGTGTATTAGGTTTTTTTTTTTTTTTGCCTTTTTCTGCTGCAGCTGAACCACATCTAAGCTAATAATATGGTGGGAGGGGAAGGGGGAGAAGTACCTAAAATAAAATATTTAAATTACCATTCATTTTAGTGAAAGATTCATAAAATTTCTCCCTACAATGAAGAAATTTCCGAGCAAGAAAATTGGAGTAAGATGAAAACTAACATTATTCTCACAAACAAAAAAAGAAAAAGGATAAAACTCACATTTTCTTTTATGTAATCATTGAAGGCACTGAGCTCGTTGAGTAATGCTTGCTCTGTCCCATCATTGGCATCTTTGCTTTTAAGAAAACCAATAAACGTGGAGAAGATCTTCAAGCCACTACATCAAGAAACTTAAATAGTTTAATCAAATAAAACTCTCTGTACAATCCATGTAAACATAAAAACTTTATAAAGGGATGGGACTTGGATCAACTATGTTTATTTGGGCTGAAGCAAAAAGCAAAACATTATATTCGCCCAAAATAATGAGCCTAATTTAATTTTTAATATGCCTTATTCTCTCAATCTCTCTCTGAAGACATGAGAAAGCGACAAGAATCTTAAAATTTTGCGTCTGATTCTTGAATAACAGTTCTTTTCCAATGGAAAATAGGAAAAGAATAGTACAAAATAAATACATGGTCAAAGGTGGTGCTAGCGATTTCAGCATTTCTTGTTGCCAAAATTTTATGCAAATTCCAATGAATAAAAGAATATCCTATGAAACTTTTTAAGTTTTGAAAATCTCCTGTAAAGATTATAAAAAGTCTCTAACAATTGCTGAAATCTCGAATGCAAGGGAAGACAATTGCAATAGACATCATCTTTTACCAAGCTATTCACTGTAGATACTTAACAAAGAATATCACTCAAGCAAGGTGTTTGATTTTCCAAGACAAATATCCATTATGATTCCACAACCATTGCCTAAAATACCCACACTACGAAACATAAAATAAAAAAGACTCTGTATGTGTGTCAAATGAAAAGATCTAAGTGAAAATGAAATGCATTAAAAATTCTGAAGAATTTGTAATTCATTCTTTACAAAATTATCACCTAGCACTTTTAAAATAATTGGAGCACAAAAATAGTTGCTTTACCAGAAATTATGAATAATATTAGTTTTATCACATTGAATATATATATATAACATACACTGAAGCCTTCTCAGGTGGGGTTCCCAATGGTGGATCTGGAAACTTCTCTTCCAGTGACTGTGTGATAACATCTGAATCTGGAATCCACTTCTCCTCAAATTTTATCACAGGAACTTTGCCTTCTGGGCTTATTTTCAAGAACCTGGACATCAGACAATTTGCGAATGATAGAATAAATATGAATATGTGCCAAAAGGACTAAGCAAAGCAAGAAATTTGAATGTATTTGTTTGGTTTATAATCAAATACACCAAACGATTGGTTAAAATAATTGTAATGGAAAGAAAAACAAACACAAGAATGCAGCTTGAAATAATCACCATTCTGGCTTGTTAGCGAAGTCTATTAGCTTTGTATTGTAAGGAAGATGTTTTTCCTCTATAGTCAACAGCACTCTTTGGCAAAATGGGCCTGAAAAGAAACTTAAAATTATTAATTGATATTTATCATTGAATCTGCGCTAGACTAATTCTATAAGCAAACCATAGTGTGTGGTATAACACCTAAATCAAATGGTTGTAGATTAATCTGTAATCATTCCAACAACAATTGCGATCCATTGCAATATGTTCTTGTTTCTGTTCAATTTCTCAATAGTTGTTGATAATCACGTCACTTCAGAATAGGAATTACTTTCTTAACAGAAAATGAAGACACATGGAAGAAACTTAAACTAAAAATTTATACAAACACTCAATTTTCTTTCTCTTAGCAAGTCATTCTTATATTCTACATATACATTCATCACTATTCTGCTAATTCGCTATATAATGAGGGGAGAAAAGCAAACTTAAATCACATAATTCTTGTCAATTGTCATTTTGCAAACTAATAAGAAATTGAAGCCAAAATGGAAGCATTACTACATTGAGCCAAAAGAAAATAAGATTAACAAAATGCAATTTGAAAAATAAATAACATAAGCAGCATTTTCTTGGAAAACAAATAGCATTTGTATGAGAAATTCTTACAGTCGCCGAGCTTGTTGGGTGCAGTGACGGAGGCTTTAACACAGACTTCTAGAGGTTCGGATACAGCAGACATAGCAATGACAGAGTGGTTTCTTCTGATTCGTTGGCGTCTAAAAACGGCGTTATTTCGAGGAAGACGAAGAGTGAAACCAAGATGATGCTTGACAGTGGAGGAAAGCGCACAAGCAGCCGACGCTGCGGCAACTGCCGTGGGTTGTATTCTCGCCGTCGACATTTTGGCTTTATTTGTAAAGAAAATTCTGTGTCGTGTGCTCCGGTGGGATAGAAAATCGGAATTTTGTGAGTGATAGAAAGATGTGGTTATCAGTATTTCAGTATTTCATACACGGTTTGATTTAAGTGAAAGGGTAAAATATACTCCGGTACCTAAATTATATTATAATTAATGTTTTTACCCTTTTATTTTTTAAAAAAAATTACTATAACATTCTTAATATTTACTTAAATTTATTATGAAATCATTTCATCCAAAAAAATCAGCCTTTTTTTTTCGTTCCAAAAAAATGAGTACATTTCATGAAAATAGTGCGTTTCACTGACGGAAGTATTGTGTTTCACTGACGGTAAATATTGCATTTTACTTTTTTTTTTTTTTTTTTTTTGCTTATATGTTTACTTAAATTATTATGAAATCATGTTCATCCGAAAAAAAATCAGAGCCTTTTTTTTTTGTCTTTCCAAAAAAATGAGTAGCATTTCATGAAATAGTGGCGTTTCACTGACGGAGAGTATTGGTGGTTTCACGACGGTTAAATATTTGCATTTACTTTTTTTTTTTTTTTTTTTTTGAAAAGGATCCAATAATGAGTTTTATGTAAAAATTAATACATTATAATAATTTTAAAATTTTTTTTTTTTTTTTTTTTTGAAAAGGATCCAATAATGAGTTTATGTAAAAATTAATAACATTATAATAATTTTTAAAAAATTTGTGAATGGAAGTATTAATTAATGAATTATTTATTTACTTTATATATTAATCCCTCACTTTATAAATATAAATCATTTAAGATTTTTGTATGGTAATTAAAAAATAATTATTTTTTCTAAATTATAATAAAAAATTTTATTACTTAATTAAATTATTATGTATCTCATGTCATTAATCATTAATAATTAATGTGCTTAACTTATAAGGTAAATTTTGAAAAAAAAAAGCGTAATAATCATTATTTAATATTCTTTAAAATGACTTTCATCTTAACATAAAATTACTTTAAAATGATTTATATTTATAAATTGAGGGAGTATTTATGGGTGTTTGTTGTCTCATGCTTTTATTTTTAACTCAATTCTTTACATCCATTTTATTTTTATCTTATTTTCTTTGTCTTAGACAAAAAAAAAATGTATATTTTAAGAGCAATGATTTTTTTTTTTTTTCATACTAATCTGGTTTAGTTTAGTTGATATTCTCACTCAGAATAAGAATTTCTTCGAAATAAGAATTTATTTTCTTAACAGAAAATGAAGACACATGGAAGAAACTTAAACTAAAAATTTATACAAGCACCCAATTTTCTTTCTCTTAGCAAGTCATTGTCATATTCTAGTCCTCTGATCATAATAGTTTTTACCAAATTTAATATTATTTCTATCCATCGGGCATCCTATGAATCAAAAGAAAACTATTTTTGTATTATCTTAATTAATGAAAAAATTAAGAATAAGTTACCTTTTAAGTAATTTGTTTCTATTTTATTATTTATATTATTAAAATAACACTCAATCAATATAATAACAATTATTAAAATTAATATATACGCTTTTTTTTTTCAACAAGTATTTATACATAAATAAATTATTTTATTTTAAAATAATTTTCACTAAATTTTTGGATATATATATATTGCTTCTTGTCCCTGAAACTCGAAAGCATTGGCAAAACCGCAAACGACAACAATAGTTTAGTGAAAAAATCCACTATCGTTACGGGAAAATGCAATTCGCTAGCAGGATAAAAATCTTTTACGCTCTATGGTTGGAAAGAATTATACATTCTAAATATATATATAGCCACTCCCATTTTCAATTTTTACAGTAATTAACAAGCTGAAGTATTACAATGTCCGGTCATAGAATATTATTGAACATCTACTGTGTATATCTACTGCTATAAACATCTATAATTGTACATTGAAAAGCATCACAAATTAATACAAACACAATTTTACAAGCTCTAGCTTATATTTTTCTATTATTTTTTTGCCTAATTTCTCATTTCTTTTCCCACTTAACCTTTCTTCTCCAATTTGTTTTGTGTTGATGGTTCTTGCGACCTAACTTTTACCCCTTGTGCTCTAAGTCTGACTCAAGGACCTGCAATATTATTAATATTGGATCGGTTGATAAGAACAATAACTCTGAATATTAGATTTCAACTCTACTGCAGAGAACTCCAAAAACAATATTATTCCCTTATTACTCTTTATCTCTGTTTCTTTTTTGTTTTTTTAAAAAGGAACTCTTTATCTCTGTTAAATACAATTTACATCACATAATTCCGCCGGAGCCGGTGAAAATAATGGAGGTGTTATTTGCTATATTCAGCTAAAAATATCCGACTTACAAAATGCAAGGAATAACACAAGCAGCATTTTCTTGGAAAACAAACGGGAATTATATGAGAAGTTCTCACACTCACGAGCTTACATAGACTTCGATAGATACAATAGATATAGCAATAACAGTGAGGTGTCTTCTGATTCTGTGAAGTCCGAAAACAGCATTCATTTGAGGAAGACGAAGAAGAGCGAAACGCTTGACAATGAAGGAGGGAGCACAAGCCGCCGACACCACAGCTAAGGCTGTTGGTTGTATTATTGCCATTCACATTTTGGCGTCAAGTCTGTAAAGAAATTTCTCTGCGTCGTGTGCGGTGGTGTGATAAAAGTTTGGAATTGCGATCGACGGAGGGATGAGGTTCAGATTCCTCTCGGTAATTTAAATTTTGTATCTTTGACTGATACATAAATATTATTAAAAAATCACCGATTAATTTAGAAAAGATAACCACCAAAATGGGCTACCACAATAAGTTAAATACTTGGCAAGTTTCAAGTCCAAAGGTGGGAACCCTAAGCCCAAATTGGCAAGTTTCAAGCAAAGGGTGGGAACCCTGCCCAAAAGATCGGGATATCCCAAAGCCCAACATGGGTGTGTAAATACCTAGGACATTCTAGAATACTCCCACCCACAGATATTTTAATGAAATATCTCATCTACTCTAAAAATGCTGCCATGTAATTCTCCACCGTACATGTTTTGTAAGTAAAATCATAGCCGTACATGAGAAGGGTGAAATGCGTTTAAATATCACCTCTCACCTCATTTGTAACCAACCAAGCAAAAACCCAAGTCGCAAGAAGCAAGTTAAGTAATTCTTTCTAAGCCTTGTAAAGAATTTGCTTCTTATTAATACAATTTTATTTGTTTGTTTCTTGTTTAGTTTCCCGTTATTATTCTTGGTGTTATAAATTATTAATCAATCTTGGAGTTTATCACTACACTTATATCCAACAAGTGGTATCAGAGCATTAATTCTAACAAGTGGTATCAGAGCCTGGTTGTGGTGGTCGTTGTTGTAGCCGTGGTATTTTGTGATGTTCATTTACAAGTGCAGGGTATTGTTACTCTGCTGGAATTAACAGTCGGGGACTGTTGTTGAAGCAACCAAATTCACAAGCAAGGATTGTGATCGTGATTGGTCAAGGACCATCGTGCATTGGTTAGTGTTAGGAACACCAGTACCTTATGGCAGATTTTTCTGGAAATAGTTTCTGGAGTTGCTAATAGCATCGAGAAGCTAAATAGCAACAATTACGGGAACTGGAGTACCCGTATGAGATATTATCTCATAGGTCAAGACTTATGGGAAATGGTTGGAGGAGATAATACTACAACACCAGTTGGGGATGCGAAAGCTCTGAAAGAGTGGGAGACAAAATGCGGGAAGGTGAAGTATATGCTGACAGTTGCAGTAGAAGATGAGCATATGCAACGGATCAAGTCGGCTAAAACACCAAAGGAAGCGTGAGACATCCTCAAGTCTGCTTTCGCCAAGAAGAACGAAGCAAAACCACAACGGCTCGAAAACGAGTTGTTCTCAATCTCCCAACAAAACCTCATTGTAAGTAAGTCAATACTTTTCTAAAGTAAAATCTTTATGTGAGGAGATTTCGAAATTAGAGCCAGACAACTAGATCAATGAGACAAGGATGAGGAGGATCATCATCCATGGTCTAAGACATGAATTTAAGGGTCTTGTGACTGCTACTCATGGTTGGGCTACATAACCAACTTTAGACGAGTTAGAGAATATCTTGTCTAATGAAGAGACTTGGACGAAAAAATGTCTAAAGTAGCTTTGAAGGATGATGAGAAAACTCTCTTTGCTAAAAAGAGGGGATTTCGAAACATTGCGAGAGTAGATGGTGGAAAAGAAAGGAGCAATCAACAAAGCTAGAGAAAACAAAAGTGGAGACCATCACAGCAAGGGGAGCAAGGCCAGGACAAAGGAAAGACGACTGGCGAGAAAGTGATCGTTGCTATAAGTGCAACAAAAGAGGACTAAGTGCAACGCCAAAGAGAGACATTTTCGTCTGAGAGATGTAGAAGCAGACGAGGTAGAAGAATGTCGAAGCAGACGAGTAGAAGGAAATACAGCATCAACCCAGAACGAGCAATAAAGTAAAGAGGAATGAGATATTCACAGTTTCTTTGATCAAGAGGAAGAATATTCGCCACAGAAGCCAGTAGAGATGATGATGAAAGGACTTGTGCAGGAGTCATCATTAATATCTGTAAGTGATAGAATCAACTATGATGATAGTTGGATAGTTGATTCTGGAAGTTCTAATCACATGACAAGAAACAAGGAGAAATTATCGGATGCATCTGATTATGATGGAGGTCGTGTTGTAGTCACAACAAATAACACGAGATTGCCAATAACTCACATTGGAAGACAACCATTGTTTCTCCCTCTAGTAAGGAGAAAATGGAGTTACAGATGGTTTACCATGTGCAAAGGATGAAGAAAAACTTACTCTATGTATCACAAATAATAAGTGCAGGTAATTATGTGGTGTTCGGTCCTGATATGTTAAGGTTTATTGTAACCTTAAATTAATCAGAGATCTAGTCATGGAAGGACGGCGAGTAGAATCAATCTACGTCATGTCAGCACAAGAAGCGTATGTTGATAGAACAAGGAAGAGTGAGACAGCTGACTTGTGGCACGCTCGTTTGGGACATGTTAGTTATCACAAGCTTAAGGTGATGATGAAGAAGTTCATGCTTAAGGTCTTCCTCAGTTGGAATGCCGAGAAGTCTTCCTCAGTTGGAATGCCGAGAAGACACTATATGTGCTAGATGCAATATGGAAAAGCTCACCAACTTCCCTTTGAAGAGTCAAAACATAGAGCCAAGGTGCCATTGAAGTTAATACATTCAGATGTTCTTGGACGGATCAAGCAACCTACAAATAGTAATATGAGGTACATGATTACTTTCATCGGTGACTACTCGAGATATGTTTGGGTAGATTTTATGGTAGAGAAGTCGAAAGTTTTTGAAAAATTCAAAGCTTTCAAGAAGAAAGTTGAAAAAGAAGTCGAAAATAAAATTAGATGCCTTTGCACCGACAATTGTGGAGAGTACACGTCTGACGAATTCACTAAATATTGCCAAGAGCAAGGCATTCGAAGGCAATTCACATGTCCAAGAACACCACAGCAGAATGAAGTTACTGAGAGAAAGAATCGATAGCTGGTGGAGATTTGCAGGAGTTTGCTCCATGCGAAGAATGTGCCAGCTAGATTTTAGGTAGAGTGCATGACGACAGTTGTGTATGTCACCAACAGACTACCTCAAGTAAGACTGGAGTTTACATCCACATTCGAGAAACTGTGGAACATTAAACCAATTGTAAGTCATTTTCGCATTTTTGGACGCGTGTGTCATGTCGTCGTTCCAAATCAACTTCGAAGCAAGTTTGACAAAAAGGCACTTCGCTGCATATTCGTTGGTTATGGTGAGCAAAGAAAAGGCTGGAGATGTTGTGATCCTATAACTAACAAGTGCCATATTTTACGAAATGTGATCTTTGATGAGGCATCATCTTGGTGGTCATCTCAAGCAACCTTGCTACCAGACTCAAAAGAAATTCAAGAAAAAGTTGAAAAGCAGATAGGAGAGGGAGAGTTCATCCCAGAGAGCATAGGAGAGGGAGATCAATCCCAGAGAGCTGTCAAGGCAGAGCCATCTAGAGTTGGATAGAAGCATGCCCATGGAAGATAGTGTACATTATGAACAACAGCAACCAAGTTCGAAGAAGAATACAGATCTAGATTTATCCTCTACTCTTCGAACGTATCGGTTGCAGGCAAGAAGGCCTAATCCAAAGTATGCAAATGCTGCTTATGCAGAGATAATAGAGAGCCACGAACCTTATGAAGAAGCATCAAAGAAAATGGAGTGGATACTTGCGATGGAAGAAGAAATTTGCTGCTTTGGGAGCAAAATTCATAACTGGAAATTAGGCCACAAACCAAGAAGATGTGAAACCCATCTCTTCAAAATGGGTCTACAAAATCAACTTGTGGGTATGGATCAATTGTGCGATCACAAGCAAAGACTAGTTACTACTCGTGGATTTTCTTAGGCAGTAGGCTTGGATATGATGACGGACATTTTAGTCCCGAACTGCCAAGACACTACTTTGCTGTGTATTAATAGCTTTAGCAGCTAGTAAGTCATGCTAGCTTTAGCAGCTAGTAAGTCATGGCCTTTGTGGCAGATGGATGTGAAGAACACATTCTTACATGGTGAAGTTGATCGTGAAATCTACATGGAACAACCACCAGGGTTCAGAAGTCATGACAATCCTAACTATGTGTGCAAGCTAAGAAAGCTCTCTATGCTCTAAAACAAGCACCAAGGGCTTGGTATGGCAAGATTGCAGAATTCCTTGTCAAGAATGGATATGTTATGGCACTAGCAGACTCTAGTTTGTTTATGAAAGATCGAGAAGGAAGACTAGTTGTAGTGCTAGCATACGTTGATGATTTAATAGTCACTAGCGACAACATCTAAGAGATTCAACTCATTCGAGAGAATTGGCTACTCGTTTCAATATGAAAGAGCTAGGAAAGCTCAGGCATTTCTTTGGATTGGAGATAGAAGAAGCCAAAGAAGGTTTGTACCTCAGACAACAGAAGTATGCAAGAGATCTGCTGAAGAGGTTTGGAATGATGGAATGCAAGCCGATATCTACTCCAATGGATGTTAATGTCAAGCTGTGTGCTCATGAAGGGAAGGGAATGATCTCTGAAGATGTTTTACTTATGTATAAACAAATAGTGGAAGCCTAATCTATCTCACAGTGACATGATGGCCGGCACATTTTCTTTTGCAGTTGGAGTAGTCAGCCGATTTAATGCAGAAGCCTAGGAACCTACTTGGAAGCAAGTTTCAAAGAGATATTGGAGTATGTCAAAAAGTTACAATCGATTATGGGCATGCTTGAATACAAGAGAGGTGGAAATTAATCAAGTGTGGGAAGGATTATTGCGATGCTGAATTATGCACGGAGATCACACACTCGGCGCTCGACCACAGGCTATGCATTTTAAGTCTTGGTTCAGGAGTAATCTCTTGGTGCAGCAAGAGACAACCTACAATGTCACTTTCCACAAAAGACTTGAAGTATCGGTGAGCAGCACAGCAGTAGCTTCAAAAAGTGTTTGGTTGGTCACGAGCTTATGAACGATCTGCATCAACCCTTCGACTATCCGATCCGTTGATTATGAATAGTCCAGTCCGGCTATACAAATGGCTGAGAAATTCCAGTGTTTCATGCGAGAACCAAAACACGTGGAGTTCATTATCATTTATTAGAGAGAAGGCCTTTATAGATATCAGAGAGAAGGTTCTATAAGGAGAGATTAAAATGAAATATATCAAGACGGAGGATCAACCAGCCGATATCTTTACAAAGAGTTTAAACGCAAATAAATGTGAAGATTTTCGCCAACAGTTGGGAATGATGAAGAAAGAGAAATTAATCGTTGAGGGAGAGTAGTAAAATATCATCGATTAATTTAGAAAAGAGAACCACCAAAATTGGCTACCACAATAAGTTAAATACTTGGCAAGCTTTAAACCCAAAGGTGGAAACCCTAACTCCAAATATGGATGTCCCAAGCCCACATAGTATATAAATACCTAGGACATTCTAGAATACTCCCACCAACAAGATATTTTAATAAAATATCTCATCTACTCTAGAATGCTCCATGCAATCTCCACCGTACATTTTTGTAAGTAATGCGTATAAATACCACCCCTCAAGAAGCAAGTAAGTAATTCTTTCCTTAAACCTTATGAAAATTTGCTTCTTATTAATACAATTTTATTTGGTGTTTTTGTGTTAATATTATTTTGGTTGCTTTACCGTTATTATTTTTGGTGTTATAAATTATTAATTAATCTTGTAGTTTATTGGAGTATTCATAACCAACAAATATTATTTAAAAACATAAAATTTCAGTCATAACTTAAGTCATTTTAAATTAAAATAAAAAAAAATACATTTCGAATAAAAAAAAATTAAAAAAAGTTGATAGTCAAACCAAATGCATTGTCAAGTTTCTCCCTTTAATCTGTTTCTTCTCCATTGAAGCTCAAAATCAACCATTGATTTCCTGTGTTTTCTTTTAGCATCTTTGTCTTTATACTTGTTTCTGCAACAGTTTTTCTTGATTTGCTATGGATGACATTTTGGGTCTTCTCAGAGTTCATGTGCACAGAGGAATCAATCTAGTTACCGGAAATTCCCTTCATCGTCATGTTGAAGTAACGATGGGCAAACAGGTAATTATTTATAAAATTGTTTAGTTTCTTTTTTTTCTTTACGAGTCTTTCTTGAATTTCTGGGTTGGGTTTCTTTTGCCTACTTGAACGGTCCAAATGTTTTACTCCCTTAATCAAAATTTAGGTGCTGCTATTAATGGGTTTATTGAGTCATAATTATATCTTCTTCCATTTATAAATCAATACTGGAAGTAGTTGATTTTGTAATTAACCTTTTTATTTTAGTTTTACTTTTCCATTTAAACTTATTTTTGTGTTATTCCTCATACTAATATTCTGTTTGGTTCTCCCAAACTACAAAATTCCAATCTGACAAAATATCAAAGATTTAAAGCCAAAAAAAAAAAAAAAAAAAAAAAGCCAAAAAAAAAAAAAAAAAAAAAACCCATAATAGTAAAATAAAAAAAAAAAAAAAAAAAAAACCAATAATAGTAAATTGTGAGCATAAAGATATCTATAAATACAGAGTACATAGGAGTTGTTTGACTTCATGAGGATGTTGCTTCCTGAATTGGATGAAATGGAGGACATGATCCAATATAATTAATTTAACAAATTGTTGATTCAAGATTTAGTTGATTGAGTTTAAATTTTTATATATGCTTTTTAATTTATCTTTATAAAAAAACATGGTTTTGGCAGAGATTGATTACTCGACAGATGTCAGGAAAAGTCAGTCCTGTGTGGAACGAAGACTTGACTCTTTCAATTACAATTCCAGATCTTCCAATCAAGATTGTGAGTATTACAATTTTTTTGACTTTATGTGTTGATCTTAATTTTCTACTGGAAATAAGAATAATGGTTCCACATTTCAAACGGAACAATTTGTGTCTTTTTAGCTTGTAAATAAGTCATGCCAATTTTGGCAAATCTTGACTTTGATTCTATAGATAAACACAAGGGTAGAATATACAAGTATGTGTATAGCTAAAATTGTTAAAAACAAGTACAGAAAATCTTGGAAAAACAAATGAGTTTACTGCAAATAGAATAATCTTCAACTTAGCTTGCTACCAATAGAATATTAACAGCCAAACTTTGGCCAAACCCTCTAATTGACCCTAGAAGTTTCAGCTTCAAGTCAATTGAGTCTTTGGCCCTATTCGGCAATACTAGTTGTTTTAGTAAATATCAGCTATTGTAGTAGCTGTGATCGGTTTTGCTAGCTGTTATTTGTTCGATATTAGCTATTAGTGGTGAACTGTTTACGTAGTAGTTTAAAACAAAAGTGTCAAAAATAACTGTTTGATTAGCTATTATGTATAAATAATTTTAAAAAGTTCAATTAATAGTTGTCAAACCCTTAACATCAAGGGAATAACCTTTTATAAAACACTCCCTCAACCTCTAAACTTTGATATAAATATTACTTGACCGAACAATATAGTTAATAGAGATAAAGCTACCTTAAAAGTTGTTGCTGAATAGAGCTTTCTGCTTAGAGTCAATTTTAACTTCAGCTTTTCTGTTTTGTTTTAGTTATGAGGGAAAAGCTACTGTGAAATTTGCCGTTGCCTAAGTCCAAAAGTAGTTAAAATGGAAGTGTCTCTTTTTGAAAATGCAAGGTGTTTATGACTCTAGTACAATTGAGTTGAAGCTTATGTTTGTTTGCTACAGTCAGTATAGTTATATTAGTCTGTTGCCTGACTTTGATTGCTTATTTGCTTGAAAATACAGCAAGTTTATGAAGAAGACTACTTATATGATAATGAAATAGGAGATGCAGAATTTAGCATCACTCTTTTTCTTGAAGCTGCAAACATGCGACTTGAAGGCCATCCGAGCGGAACCATAGTAGCAAGAATTCAACCGAGTAGACAAAATTGCCTTGCTGATGAAAGCCAGATTATCTGGGTTGATGGCAAGTTGATTCAAAATCTTTCTCTTCGGTTGCGAAATGTGAGGCATGGTGAAGTAGAGCTCCAGTTGCGGTGGATTGATATTCCTGGTTCTAGGGGTTTGTAGATATGCACGTACCTGTACTTTTATTTATTGCTCTGAATTTGAGTAGTGTGCAGATATATATTGCTGCTGTGTCTCAAGTTAGATATAGATGTTTTTTTATGTTTCCTTTTTTTTTTTTTTGTGCAATAATTGGATTTTAATTTTTGTTATGGCCGATTTGAAACGGGTTTTTACTGATACACATTTTTGGAAGTCAGATGAGAATTATCTGTTACCGTGACCATTTTTCCAGTAATACCTGATTCTAGCCAAGACTCACATAACATATTGCTTCCTTCACTCCTCTAAAGACTTTCTTTTCCCTTGTAACTCTTCTAAATTTCTGCTCTTTACATTCTACATCTTCCCAACTTCTTGCTTTTGACTCTCAAAACTAATGAATTATCATGGAGTCTTGAATTTAAAGTTAATTAATTACAAGATTACTTATTCTATATATGGATTATTTTTTTAAAACATTGAAAATGAATTTAGTCAATTCCAGCAGTGACCATCATCTAAAACCTTTTTTCAAACTCAACAAGCTCATGATGACTTTGAAACTCATTCGTAACTCTCGCATTCTTTTTCTTGCTTTCTTTTTGCTTGACTCTTTATCTTGTTACCGAATTACTATGATAATGGTGGTATTTCACTTTGGTGTCCATGTTAATAAACAAAGAGTGAGTAACCTTGATTCTTTTTTTTTTTCCAAAGTAGGATCTTTATTATTATATATGGATACTGCACCAGCTTTCCAAAGCTCAACTTCAATTTATCCATTGTGAGCTTCTTAGATTGTTATAAATTAAAGCCTATTACTTCAAAACTTTTTTCTCAATCACTATTAATGGTATGTTTGCAGGTGTGTCACTAAGTGACTATATTATACCTGCAGAAGTCAGGGAAGCAGGTTTTGGGATTTGTGCTGATGAGTTAGGAACCATTGTCCAAGGCCATGATATGAAGAGGCTAATATTACATGGTGGCATAGATGGCATTGCAAATAAGATTTCCACTTCAACTGCTAATGGGCTTTCTACAGATAATGATTTACTGAATCACAGACGAGAGGTATATGGGATCAATGAATGTGCAAAGAGTGAAACTTGGTCTTTCTGGATATTTGTTTGGGAAGCCTATCATGATATGACTCTCATAACACTTGGTGTTTGTGCTCTTGTATTTCTAATAGTTGGCATAGCAAGAGAAGGATGGTCTAAAGGGGCTCGTGATGGCTTTGGAATTTTTGCTAGCATCTGGTTGGTTGTGTACGTGACAGCAACAAGTGATTATTTTCAATCATTACTATTTAGCGACTGGTACAAGGAGAAAAAAAAGAACACCATTCAGGTCACAAGAAATGGATTTAGACAGAAATTATCAATATATGATTTGCTTGCAGGAGATATTGTACACCTTACTGTTGGAGACCAAGTTCCTGCTGATGGACTTTTTGTTTCAGGATTTTCTGTATTAATTGATGAATCAAGTATAACAAGTGAAAGTAAGTTAGCAATGGTGAACTCAGAAAATCCTTATATGCGATCTGGAACAAAGATCCAACATGGTTCATGCAAAATGATGGTTACTGCTGTTGGTTTGAGAACCTTATGGGGTAAACGAAACGCAACTCTCAGTGAAGGATATGATGAAACTCCATTGCAGGTGAAATTAAATGGAGTGGCAACCATTATTAGTAAGATAGGCCTTGCCTTTGTTGCTGTGACTTTTGAAGCTTTAGTGCAAGGCCTATTTTGCCATAAATGGCATGAAGGATCCCACTTGAGTTGGTCTGCCACCGAAGCAGTAAAGATGCTAGAGTACTTTACAGCTGCAGTTGCAATTGCTGTTGTTGCTATTCTAGAGGGGCTGCCAGTGGCCCTGACATCGAGTCTTGCTTTTGCAATGAAAAAGATGGTGAATGACAAAGCTCTTGTCCAACATTTGGCAGCTTGTGAGACCATGGGATCAGCAACAACTATCTGTAGTGGAAAAACTGGAATGTTGACTACTAGTCATATGACTGTTGTGAAATCATGCATTTGTATAAATATTAGGGAACTAGGGCAACCTGATAAAACGTCAAGCTTGTGCGCTAAAATACCTGACTCCATTGTTAAACTACTTCTAGAATCAATTTTTAATAACACTGCAGGTGAAATTGAGTTCAGTGAAGATGGAAAACTGGAGATATTGGGAACACCAATTGAGAGGGCTTTGTTGGAATTTGGCTTGTCTCTAGATGGGGATTTTCAAGCAGTGAGAAAAGCGGTCAAGCTTGTTAATGTTGAGCCTTTCAATTCCACAAAAATGCGAATGGCAGTAATGGTGAAGCTTCCTGAAGGAGGCTTGCGAGCCCACACTAAAGGTGCTTCAGAAATTGTTTTGGCTGCCTGTGACAAGGTTATTGATCCAAATGGTCAAATTGTTCCCCTCGATGGAACATTGCTTAACCATCTTAATGATACAATTCATTACTTTGCTAGTGAGGCCCTTACAACACTATGTCTGGCCTATAGGGACCTGGAAGGTGGATTTTCCTCATATAATTCTATTCCAGCGTCTGGGTATACTTGTATCGGAATTCTTGGTATTAAAGATCCTGTTCGTCCTGGTGTTAAGGAAGCAGTTGCAGCTTGTCGTTCAGCTGGTATCACTATCCGAATGGTTTCAGGAGACAACATAATTACTGCCAAGGCTGTAGCTAAGGAATGTGGGATTCTTACTGATGATGGTATAGCCATCGAAGGAACTGATTTTAGAGAGATGAAACAGGAAGAGATGCTTGAACTAATTCCCAAACTTCAGGTGTTTTTAACTATGTTATTTTGTGCAATGCATAAATAATTAAATGTCCAATAACGGAAAAAAAGTTTGTTGCACTCATCATTTGAATTCAATTTAGGTGATGGCTCGGTGTTCACCTATGGACAACCATGCACTGGTGGAAAAATTGCAAACTACGTTTGGAGAAGTTGTTGCAGTGACTGGCGATACAACAAATGATGCCCCAGCTCTTCACAAAGCAGATATTGGTCTTGCAATGGGCATTGCCGGAACTGAGGTGAGTTTATCATGTCCAATTGCAAAATCGACCTTGCTTCATCTAGTAAGTTGGGACTCATAATTGCGAAAATAGACTTCTATCCACAGCCTACTAATTTGGTTAGCCATTTTGAGTTGATTAAAATTCCTTGATTTCTTTCTTAGCAATAGAGCTTTCGTTCTGTCATTAGTATTGAAGCCATTGTTTTTTTTAAGTTCATACGACAATATATTGAGATTCACTAATATGACATGATTAAATAGAAATAGAATCAAAAGTTTGGATATTATGTGAAAGTTCAATGGTATTACATTAAACTAAGGGAAATTTTGATGTGGTTTTAATCTGCCCACTGGATTTTCTTCATACAAATTAAAATAAATGATAGTTTGACTAATCAATTCCCCAAATTTCAGGTAGCTAAAGAGAGTGCTGATATAATAATTTTGGATGAGGGTTTCTCTACTATCATTCAAGTTGTCAAATGGGGACGCTCCATTTATATAAATTTTCAAAAATTTGTACAGTTCCATTTGACAGTTTATGTCGTTACATTAATCATTAACTTCTCTTCAGCTTGTTTCACAGGTAAGAAAGTCCCGTTCTTTATGCATCTTTTCACAAGTTAGGTTTTGTATCTTTCTTTTGTAAGACAGAAACCAGTTTTCACATTGTGCTAGTGATTGTGCACGGAACTATTTGTTAGGGACTGTTCCTTTCACTGTTGTTCAACTTTTGTGGATAAATATCATCATGGATATTCTAGGACCTCTGGCACTTACAACAGAGCCTCCAAATGATGAATTAATGAAACGGGCACCAATTGGGAAGCAAGGGAAATTTATTAGTAATGTGATGCAGAGGAATATCCTAGGCCAGTCCTTATATCAGTTCATTGTAATATACCTTCTCCAAGAAAAATGGAGAGATATATTTGATATAGGTGGCCCTGATTCTGATCTTGTCCTGAATACTTTCATATTCAATTCATTTGTTTTTTGTCAGGTAAGCTTTCACTCTTCTTGTTTAATTTATGTTTCTAGTATGTAATATGTTATTTGCTAAACTATAGTTGATAATGGTTGGATTTCTGTGTTAAAATTCCAAGAAAATAAATGTGAAGTTGGTATTAATTCCATTTATAGCAAATAAAGAAAGGTACTTCATTTCATTTTGCAGGTTTTTAATGTGATAAGCTCAAGAGAGATGGAGAAAATCAACGTTTTCAAAGGCATACACAACATGTTCCTTGTAGTTCTTGGTTGTACTGTCCTTTTCCAGATTATAATTGTGGAGTTTCTAGGTGCATTTGCAAACACAGAACCTCTCACTTTATCACAATGGCTCGGTAGTGTAATCATCGGATTTCTAGGCATGCCAATGGCTGCTATCTTAAAAATGATAAATTGCGTTTTGGAGATGGAGTTTTTTGAATCGCATTTCTGGACCGGGATTTATCACAGAGAAAATAGAATAGTTATTGCACAATAGGTTTTCATCTATTTCTAGCACTCTAAAAGTACAAGATGAAATATGGAAGGTTGGTTGGAATGAAATGAATGGGACTCCTTCCTTAACCAAAAGTCTCGAGTTTGAGCCTTGGGCATGGAAATTGACACACCGGAAGAGTTGCCTTTATATGAAATCCGAGTTCGTAGATTTATGTAAGTATTCCAATCAACGAACTTGCAGTTTTAAAATTATTTGTTTTTGTGAAGTCTGATGTTTTTTTTAAAGTGTTGAGTGATCCTTTTTCTTAGCTGAAGTTAGTACTTCCACAGGGAACTGCACATAACAGTTAATAAGCCAAGCCAAAACTTTAGTTTTAAGACTTAGTGCAATGTATGCGCCTAAATTTATCTAAATCTTGTTAGGTTACTTATCCCAAACTTTTTGAGTTGCTCATTCTTAAAATCGTAGGTGGCCAATATGTTATTTTATCATAGTTTGCATTTTTAAACATGGTTTTCAAATTTCGTTCCGGACTGGGTGATTTAACTGATTGAATTGAGAACCGATGGACTTCTCGATTCCGGTTTGTTATATAGTCAAGCCCGTTTGGTGGTTCATCTAGTGAACCAACTGCCCGTTTGGTGTTGATCTAGTGAACCAACTGGTTTGATCACTCGGTTCAATTTGGGTTTGATTTAATAATTGGTAAAATGTATTGATTAGAACGGTTGATGTAACAAGCTCCATTTAGAACTTGCAACTTTTTCGGGTTTGTTGTACAGTCAAATCCATTTGTTGGTTGATTAAGTGCACTGAATGGGTTTGACCATAAATTGATCAAACCTAAGTTGGATCAATTGGTTGGATTTCAACTCGGTTCACTAATTGGTAAAACGTAATTCAAAAAAAAGAAAAAAAAAAAATCTGAATGTATGTTGCCACTTGGAGGGTCTGAACCCGGTATAGGCTGAGAGTTTAATTCCTGAGACTCAAAAAGCAGGCTCGTCCCATGCTGCAGTATCTGCAACTGTTTCTGAAAAATTCAGGTTTCTAGCTTTCCACATTGCCCAAGCAACCATGCAGTATCTCCATTTTCTCTTTATTATTATGTCACTTGTAATTCAATATTTACATGGTCGACAAAAATTATAATCATAATTTATTCCATAAATTTATTTTTTTCTAATATTATAGAATTTCATTCTTTCCAAATTAAATACTTTATTCTATTTATAAAAAAAAAAATTTATTCAATATTCCTCATCTTCTTTATGAGGTTAAAAATAGATTCATTAAATTTATCATGTGTAAAATTTATTGAAAATTACTCAAATTTTATAAACATAGAAATAAGTGCTTTTATTATACTACTTAGTCCTTTCATTTAAACAGTACACTTATAAAAAAAAAAATTTATTCAATATTCCTCATCTTCTTTATGAGGTTAAAAATAGATTCATTAAATTTATCATGTGTAAAATTTATTGAAAATTACTCAAATTTTATAAACATAGAAATAAGTGCTTTTATTATACTACTTAGTCCTTTCATTTAAACAGTACACTTTGCCCGTTATAGTTACTTAGTCCTTTCATTTAAACAGTACACTTTGCCCGTTAAAACTATCCAAATCGTACAAACTGATTTAAAATTTTAGAAGTTGATGATTTGATTTAATTTCTAAAAATTGAAAAACCAAACTTTTGATTCAAGTTACAATTTTGAAGTTAAAACTGTTCAAATCAAACCATATGTGTATTTGAAGTTCTAAATAATAAATAATTTAATTCAATTTTTGAATGAGAATTTTCTTTGCTTTGCTTAAGTTTTATTGCCCTATAATTACACCATAATTTTATTAGTTAGGAAAATTATATAATTATTTTATAAAAAATTCAATTATTAAAAATTCATGTGAACTATAATTATTATAATTTTTTAGTACTAAATATAGAAATAACCAATATTTAAATGTTATACCAATAAATTGCATAATTAATGTCTTATTAGATATTTTTGGATCATAATCAAAATATAGATTAAAAAATTAATTTAAAAACTTTCGATAGCTATTCGAATCATGTGTGTTTTATATAATCATTCGTATTAGTTCATTTTCTATTTCTATATTCGAGGAAGTTTAATTTCTTCTTTCAAACCGCAAATCGGATTAATTCAACCCAAACCGCCACCAATAAATTTGGTTTGATTTCTATTTTTTGATAATTTTAATTTCTTTAAACCATCACTTTAGATCTGCTTTGATTATTACTCCAAACCAAACTAAACCGATCCCCAACAGCTCTACCTAGAACTCAAATTCTCTCGCCTCCCTCAGCCCAGCGCCACTCTCCGCCGCCACAAACCACCACTCCCTTGCCGCCAACCATAATCTCCTATCACCAAACCACCACGGAAGCTAAAACCCCACACCGAAACCCGATCTAACCATCGTCAACCTTCACCTATATCTCTCTCTCCTTCATTCTTTGTCGCCTCTTTTCTCAAAATTCCTAAAACGAAACCTCCACTCCTCTATCATCTATTCATCCTGCAGCCACCACCAACCTCCACTTCCATAAGAGTCACCTCTCACCTCCTTTAATAGAATACCGACTCTCAACAAGCTTAAATCCAGTAGAAACTTGAATTTTGGCTAAGAAGGTTCAATTCCCAGACCTCTTTTCATTTTTTTTTTTCCTAATTCTTTCCTTAAAATTTTCAATTATAGTTCATTCTTTCAACTATGGAAGCAGTAGAAAAATGGGTCTGTTGTGATAGCTGTCAGAACTGGCGGTTGTTACCCTATGGAGGAAATCCTGAGCAACTTCCGGAGAAGCGGCAATGTAGTATGCTGAACTGGCTTTGAGTTTTGTTTTTCATTTTTCTTAATGTGTTTTGTGGAGATGAATATCGGTTAGTTCTAATGGAAAGATTTGGCATTTGATTTTTTTCAATAGAATTCTTCTAACTTATTGTGATTAATCAGGGTCCTATCAGTTTCTTTCTTATAAACTTGTTTGAAAGAAAATTTTATGTGGCAAGATATACTTAATCCATAATGCAATTATAAACATCTGTGTGCCTGATTTTTATATGCTTTTGTAAAATTTGCAGGCCTGGAATGAACCGATGTGATATTAGTGAGGAAGAGACAACAAAGGCTCTTCAGGCACTGTGTGCTGTGGGTCAAAATAATTCCACTTCGGGAGTGAATGTCCAACTGCTTGAAGGTAGGTACCAACAGCGGCATTATCAAAGATGGAAAACTTTGCCTAGAGAGCGTCTACTTACCCGCCCATGGATTAAACAAAATAAACTAAATATTTTTTGAAAGTATTTCGAAATTATCTTTTTTTTTTTTTTTTTTCATTTCGAAATTTATCTTTTTTTTTTTTTTTTTCTCTGATTTTTTTTTTTTTTTTTTCTCGGATGGCTGAAATAAATTGAATTTTTATTTTCAAAAATTATCCAATTAAATTTAATCAATTGACAGCCTGGAAATTAATATTAATATTTTAATGCGAATACTATAAGAAATCGAACTGAAAACCGATTGAAAAAGCTGAAAACCAGTTGAAAATCGAAAATTAGGGCCGAATCGAACCGGTTCGACCCAAACCATCTAGAAACCCTTCTTCCTCTATATCCAGCATGCGCCTCATCCTTTCTCACCCATTCACTACGCCTCCGACCACCGCGTAGCACCACCAGCACACTGCCACTGCCACCTCTTCCCCCTCCTCTTTCTTCTTCTTCTTCTTCTTCTTCTTTCTTTCTTCTTCCTTTCTTCTTTCGTTCTAGTCCCTTTGCGCTTGCGTTCTTGGCGAGACAGAGGCAAAGCAGCAGAGCCGCGCGCCATCGCCACCGCTTGCTCCTCCACCTCGTCGCGCCATCGCCAGCCTGCCGCAGCTCCAGCGAGTCGCGCCATCTTCGCCTTCCCTTGCCACTGTCAGTATTGATTTATAATATAAATGTTGATTCAATTAAAATCCTTTGATTAATTTATTGAGTAATTTTGATAATAATATTAAGAAGGGAATGAAATGAGTAATTGAGAATTAAAGGTAATGTTGATATTGATATTCGGACGGAGGATGAGAAAATTGAATTGATTGATTGACCGGCTGTGTAATTTTTAGTTATTAAATAAATTGTTGATATTTTAACAGGTGGATAGTTCAATTTTTAAGGGAGATGCTGCCGAAATTTCGATAGAAAATAAAATGAATTTCAGTAGTAAATAAAATTTATTATAGAAATTTAATTATTTATAGATAGTATATTATTGATAGAAATTAAATAGGTTAAGATTAGTAGTGTGATGAATAAATCATTCTTACTTTGCTTAGATTGCCTGGGTCCATCTAGTGCTCCTTTAGGACAGAATCAAAGCTAGAACTTCGCTCTCTATTACTGTGAGTAATAATAAATAATGCAGATCAACATGCATTTGCATAACATTTTTTTACAAACCTTATATATACTTTTATAGTAAAACTCATATTTATTTCATATTGTATAATTGTATATTTGGGTGGATTTGATGTAATACGATGAAAGAATTGTTTGATTAATTGTGCTGTGAATATGTTGTGCCTTGTTTGTGTGGAATTGGGATGAAGTGGGTCACCATGGGTTTGTGAGACCGTTACCGTTATATGGAAGTGGGTCACCATGGTTTGTGAGACCGTTACCGTTTATATGGATCCTGATTATTGATTAGCCGGATAATATGGGACATCGGCGTCCCCATGTGCACGTACCGTTACGTTAACCCACATGTTGGCTTCTTTTATGGAGAAGTATTATCACCTTCATATAATCACATCACATGGAAATTAGTCAGTGGAGTCACCGAAACCCGATGAGCCGTCCTCCCATATGGCCCATCCACTCACATGTGCACCAGGGAGCCAATCCCCCATTTTGGCTGACCGGTATAATCCTCACACAACCGGTCCTCTCATTATTTTTCCATTCTCTTTTCTTTCTCTCTCTTCTCTTTTTTTTTATACCGACAGGCGACATCCCGGTCGTCTCCCTCAAATCTAAATCATCAGGCGCACACAACAGGAGGCCACCCTGCGGGCAACGATCAAATCTAGATCACCAGGTGCACCCAAAGAGACCAACCCATGGTTTTCCATATGATTATCTTGAAGGTGATATTGTTTCCGTGTGGTGCTGATGTGATTGCCTATGATTTTGACTGTTGTGATTGTTCATTCAGATATAATTAGGGTGCATTATGCTTGACTGTATGTGTGCGGTGTGTATTATTTATTATTATTCACTGAGTTGCAAAACTTACCCCCCCAACAACCCTCCCAGTACTAGGAAGCAGCTGATTTCGAACTTGAAAGCTCTGCAATCTCTCTGCAGACGTTATAAATTGTAAAAACTTTTATTATTTTTGTTATTTAATTTCTCGGATGTTAAATTTATTCTTATTAATCAGATTATTTATTGAACTCCGCAGTTATAT